AGGCCCCAAGATTTCTTGGCTATTTGCCAACCTGTGTATTTTTCTTAGAGCTGTAAAGGTATGCCCTCGTTAATCTGCATTCATCTATCGTTACTTAGCAATAATCTGCACATACGTTTCTACATGTCAAAAGTACATACTTGTGACTTCACATATATGTGTAGCATTTTATGTTCACATCCCACGTGTTCATCGTCTCAGGCCATCCTCACTGCCACCGCCTGGTTTAGAACCTCATGCTCTCTCAACAGCAGCGCTGTCAGTTTCCTGTGGGGTTCCTGGTGTTTTGTCTTGCCTTTTCCGTCATTCCAGCTTCACCCAAAGAGACCGTTGTTAAAATGTGAATTTTGTCCTGCTTCTCCTCTTCTGAAGGCCTTCAGTTGGATCCGCACCACGTGGAGCGCAAAGCTCGGACTCCCTTGGCACGATGCGTCAGGGTCTCCCTCGCCCACCCTGCGGGCTGCTCCCTTTCGCCTCTCCCTCCATCTCCTGCCAGACTGAAACACACCCATTTCTCCCAATGCCCCGTCCCACCTCTGCTCACTCTAATCTCACTTCCTGAGTGGGATTCTCCCACTGTCAGCTGGGCAAATCCCACCCATTCTTGCAGACCCAACGCCAATACCACCTTCTCTGTGAAATGTGCGTCCACTTCTCAAAGGGCCTTGACCACACCTTCCTGGGTACCACTTGGCGCAATATCCAACCATTGTCAAGTTTATCATGTGTTGCAGTGAATTATTCATGATTCACGCATCCTTCTGCACCACGACAATGAGCCACTTGAAGGTGAGAACTCCTTGAGATTCTTTATGATGTATTCAGTACCCAGTACACCTGACAGAGTCTCCATCAACGTTCATGGTCCATGAACTAATTCATTAACTAACTCCTCGCTTAGCCATTCCTCCGTTATTCGTCAATTTGCTTGTTGTCCATCTTTCACTGCTATAAACATTTCCATACATTTTTCCCTGTGTGTTATTTCCTAGGAATTTGTTCCCCTGAATAGAAATAGTGTCAGAACAATTTTATACTTCCTGGTTTATATTTCTACATGTTACTCACCAGAAACACTGAACTAACTCACTGTGCCACCAAGCAATTTATGACTATCTGCTTCTCCCTAACCCTCCAGTATGGTTCTTAAAAAGTCTTCATTATTTTTTAGTGGAATACATGTTTGATAGTAAATGAAAGCTGCTTCATTTTTGTATGAGCATTTTCTTCCTGTGTAAGACAACGTCTGCATTTCCTTATGTGTAAACTGTCTGCTCATCTTCTTTCCCCAGTTTGGGTAGGACCCAGGCAATTGCCTTATATGAGATGATGTGGAAGAGAAAGCAGACTTGACAGTATCCAACCTAAGTCCCATCCTGCCTCCAGCCACCTTGAGCAAGTTATTCAATCTCTCTGAGCCTCCATTCTTTCATCTGTAAAATGAGGGTAAAAACAGATTGTAGCTTTGCTCACTACTAGTAAACAACCAGTTTGCTAATCATGTATATTTTCCTCATTTTGTTTTCCTCTTTCTTAAGTGCCTAAAAGAATATCTGGCACATGGTAGGCTAACCAGTTTTCATTATTCTATTTAATTTGGAATTCTTCAAACTATCTCGAACTTTTGTTATATGTGATATAAGGTATGGATTAAAGTTAATTCTTTCTCACGTCATTATCTGGTTGTTCCAGTAGCATTTATTTAGGACTGAATTCATTCCCCGTTTTCTGTTGCTTTCGGTTTGTAATATATTCTATATGAAATGTATTTCTGGACTCTATTTTATTCCGTTGATTCGTGTCTATAATTTTAAGGATCAAACCATATTTTTTTACTTGTGCTTTCCAATATATTTTTAAATCTAAAAACTAGGCATAATTTTTATTGTTGAAAAACCATGGGGTTTTTGCTTTTATTGTGTTTTCATCCTCTAAAGTTTTTGGGTTCTTCTTCTATGGGGACACTAACATCAATATTTTATAAAATATATATATGTAAACTAATGAATTAGTTACTAGCTAATTTAGCTATTGGTATTAACTATTACTGTTTCTAATATCAGAGTGCTCCATCTATTCATGTATTCCTTTATTTTACCAGGGTTTAAGATGTTTCTTGTTATAAATCTCTGTCTTAATTTAAATTCCTTTGTGTTTTTGAGACGATTGGTCCTTAAAAATGTACTTTTTTCTTGCTACTTCCTGTGTAACCACTAGTAAAGAGAAATGTAACTGATTTTGTGGGTTCACCTTGCATCTTGCTGTTGACTAAACAAATTTACTACCTGTAGTAATTTTTTAAGATCCTCTCTAGATTTTCTCGGTAGGGACTCATGTCCTCAACAAAAACTCATCTTTTGGTTTCTCTTTAAGAGAAGTAACTTTTCTGCATAGTGTTTCTTAATTTTTTCGAACTTGACTCTTGGTTTTATGTATATTTATACACGTGCACACACACACACACATATATCTCCCATCAAGGTAAAAAATTGTCTCCTAAAACTAATATTTTAAGCACTTTAATCTGAATCAGATTTTGCAATTTATTGAATGGCTCCTCAATAGCTATCGAGATAGTGAAATAATTTTAGTATTTTTCTCGCGGAAGTTTTAATTTGATAAATTTTCTGTGTGATACCGGCCTCGATTTCCTAGGCTAATCCACTTTCAACCATAGTGGATTATTCTTTCATGGTATCAAATTGTTGTCCAGGATCATATTTATTATTTTTAATAAGCTAAATTGATCTTAATTTGTTTTTAGTGTTGTATTTTTCAGATTTGATGGTGAAAACAATATCTGCCTCATTAAATGAATTAAAAACCACGTTGTCACTTTCTGTTTATTGTACAGGTCTAGGCAAAGTTTGAAAAAAATGGTCAGGCTCAATTGTCTTTTTTATGTCACTTTTTCTATTTCTTTCTCTGTTTTGGTCGGTTTACCTCTAAATTACGGCTCATTTAAACTAGCTTGCATTTCATATAAAATGTCATAATTTTGACATACTGGTCAATGTCTCTACTTATAAAAACATTTTTTATGTTAATCATTATCTACCTCATTTTCATTTTTAATTTATTATTGCATATTCTGTTTTTATTAATTGGATATATCTATCACTTTCTTCTAATTTAAAAATCTATTTTATTATCTTCTTTCTTCAAATAGTGGACTTCTAATTTTAGATTTAATTCTCTCTTCTGACTTTCCTTTTATTACTATTTGCTATGACATCTATTTTAACCTGATATCCTCTTTGTAACCTCTCTTTTCAAGTGTTTGGAATAAATAGAATAGATTTTAATGCAATCTCAACTTTTAGTCTGTTTTTGTCCCATGGAGACAAAGTATAATTCTTATAGACGGCATATCATTGACCTTTTAAAAAATCATCAGTAACCCTTCATAATCTTGCAGATAAATTTAATCTATTTGCATTTTATATTATATTTGAACCAACACTTCAAATGATTTTTGGTATGTGCTTGGATATAATAAATAAAGTTGTAGTTTTTAAAATACCAGCTTGCATATTTCAACTCATAAGTTTATCTTTTTTGGGCCTTGTTTTTGACATTCTCTTTCCACTTGCATTGTTTTTGAAATAAACTTGAAACCATTTCCCTTTAAACAAAATCAGAAGGCTTCTCAGACAACTGACCATTTGTCCTGTGTTCAGTTACTCCTCACAGTGACTCCGAGGTGCAGGGAACCTGCCGAGTCCAGTCAGGATGGGATCCGGTGGAACAGTCCTGCCTCGTCACGTCTCAGAGGCCATGGCAGACTTCCTGTTTTCATGCGGGGCAAGTTACCCTGTGTGGGCGGACTTTTAGGGAATAGCAGTCCCCAGCGGCAGGTCTACGACCAGGTGCTAGATCAGGGAACATTGGACAGGAAGCCATGGGTTCCATTCTGGGGAAGGAAACTTCCAGAAATCCCATGGAAGCTCAGGTGCCCTGCTGACCAAATTGGGGTCCACAGCATGGCCCTTGTTCAAGCAGATGCGTGGAATAGAGGCTCAAGAGAAAGGCTGGTCAAGTAGACTTGCCCACCAGCTTGGAGATCACAGGTAAATTCTAGTCTAAATTCATACCTGAAACATGGGATCCCAGTGATGGACAGACAGCCAGTCATCTCTCCCGGGCGTAGCCATGAAGATCAAAGGCTTTGTGGTCAGGCCGACCTTGATCCAGGCTCCACTTACGAACTATGAGATGTGGACTGAGTTATGTAACCTTATTTTCCTCAATTGGAAATGAGGATAAATACAGCACACACCTCGCATGGCTCTTTTATGGATTAAAAAAATGAGAGTTCAAGATAATGCCAATAAAAGTGCCTGACACCACGAAGGGCTCCATAAATCTTAGTTAGCATTATTATTTTATCTGGATCAGGAGCAGGCAGGGATAACGCACTCCGCCTCCAGGCTGGGCTTTCCCTGATTCTGGGGCTGGGGGGAACTGGTTTTCCATTGACCTGAGCCAGGCTGACAGGGGCAGCAGGAACAGACACAGTTCTCTTAATCAAGGACATTCGTGAAGCATCCCCACCGAAGACGGTGCCCAGTTCTTCTATGTAATAGGTACTCAGCTATCAAAGAGAGAGGGAGAAACACTAACCACGGATGCTTCCCTCAGAAAACTGTTGTGTTTCTGCTCCCGCTTCTGCCAAATTTCTCCTGCTTTCATTTAAATCAGAGGATTTTGTTTCCAGAAACTTTTCATTGAGCTATTTTCTCTCTGACTCTGTTTCTCAGGATAGCTTCTCACCTGATCCTTCAAACAGGATGACACTTATCTTAGGTCTCTCTGATTTTAAGATGAACAGAAATTAGCAAAAGCAAAAAATAAATAAATAAAAGCTCATCCATCCGACCCTGGCTTGTTCTCACAGCCTAGGGACTGCGTCTGGCTGTGCTGTTTGAATAACCTCTGGGCGTCTCATCCACCCCCACAGCTCAAGTTTGAACTCCAGAACAAATATTTGGCCCGTTTTTGAACAAAGTCTGAGAGCTTTCTTCTTCTTTTTTCTTCTTTTTTAAAAACGCACTGTGCTCTTCTGCTGTTCCCTTGAACGTGGTTTGGTGAGGGGTGGAATTCTCCTCAGAGCCTGCACTGGAGAGCTTGGCAGAGCTGCCCGGCGAAATGAAACGACTCACGTGCTTTCTCATCTTGTTCTTTGTGTCTGAAGCACTAGGCTTTGAAATCCCCACCAATGATCTTCCAGAAGTAAGTACTTCCAGAAGACTCCTTGTTGTTGGCTATATATGTTCTCAGTAAACAGCCTGTTGTTATTGCTATTCAAGGACTGTATTCAGTGTGGAAGGAAAACTTATGCTAAAATTCATTTGAGTAGAAGTCTTCACTGTTACAATTACTGGAATGTGTACGGACCTTTTAAAGCATTAGCGGGTTTTACGTGTTCAATGGGCTGGCCACATCATGTAGCATTTATGGAGAATAGTTGCCCACTTCTTATCTAAAAACAGTATAATAGTTGATGTGACCCAAAGAGTGGTATGAGATTTAAATGGCATATACAAACTACCCAGCACAATGCAAGCACCAGGATGCTCTTAATAATTATTAGCTACGATGCTGATGATAATGACATGCCATTATCATTCTTGTACTGAGTATAAGAAAAGTCATTATCAAAGCACCATTGTTTTTCACACCTAAGTAAACAAAGATTTCTGTATTAAGGACACTTTAAATATTCCTGTTAAAGGGGAAGATGGCAAGTGGGCTGGCAGATGCAAGAATTATTTCCAGGAAACTCATGCTCTCCACTTTGGACACTTGGCCATCCCCGACATACGGAAAGTCTTGATCTGAGTCATTTTGAAGGTCATACAAGAGCTATTTTGATGTCAGCAAGGCCGTGTGTGTTAGGGGAATATGCTGAGAGGTACAGCATTTTGTAATATTTGCAGAGTGGCTTACCTACCAAGATGCCAAAGAACAGGACGGCATATTTGCAAGGAAGAAAATGACTCTGTCTGCTGAGAAACTATCATATTTTCCAACACTTTAAAAACCACCAGAGTGTGTTGGAAATCTCATTGGCAGAGTAGAGAATTGAAGCCAAGACATCCAAATGTGTCTGTGCTTTTCCAGTCACTTCTTACTGATATGGCTTTCATACGGACATATTTAACTCAATGCATAATGGGTCATGTTGACCCAGTCAGACACTGCTGGAGCCCAATACTTCCCCCAGGCACCTCCTGATTACTGAGTTACTGTGACCACCACCTGCATGTTCCATCATCTTCTGGTAAACTCAAAAATGAATTTCTGTATCCAACAAATTTGAAGATATCAACTTCCATTTACTCACCTCTGAGACATGCCTACCAAACATAAATAAAGAAATCATTGCATAAAAAAATGAGATTTCCCAGAGGTATGGGAATAAGATAAAAGAATATAGTGAATTCCCTTATGCCTATCCCCACCTGCCTCTTTTTGCTCTAGACTTTTTTGTCGTTGTTGGTAGAAATAAACATCCTAAATTCTTTTTTAAGTTTGCAGAGTATGGAGATCTTGTGGAACTGACCCCAAGAAAATTTCAATTTGTGCCAGAGAACAGGAGGTATCAGGTACAGTAAACCTGACTTCCAAAAGGGAAAATAAGTGAAAGAGATCATGATTGAGGAAATAAGAAAACAGTTAGGATGGTTTTTGCTAGATTTTCTCAGGAGCTTGTTTTTTAGCAGAGTAGGGTCCAATGGTTTTACCCCTAGGTGGACGCACTATCAAGGTGAAATACCGTGAGCCCACCATATGGCTGTCTGTTGGCCTCTAAACCATAATGGTCACTTCAGTCCCTTAAAGGACTCATGGCTATGTGTTTTCTTCAAATTTGAAGATTACAAGATATTACTGCCTTATAAGGAAGAATTTCCTCTAAGGAGGTCAGCTCTACAAAGTGGAGGCAGACGCCTTCCATTGCAGCCACACATTCTCCTTCCTCCAGTCACTGCTGTCTTGGGGAGTGGCTCAAAGGGCACAGGGGAACAGGCCATGCTGGAGGCCACCAGCAGCAACAGAGACAAAAATCCTCTAACTCATGGGGATGAGTTCTCCCGACTCTACACGCTGAGAAGGGGGGTATTTGTGGAAGCAACGCTAAGCTGACCAATGACTCATTTTGTCTAGGTATGAATTTTTTACTTTCTGAAAGTCTAGATTTCTTATAGACCAATAATATTAAAATCCAGTAGGCAAGTCCTCATGTCAGCGTCTTCATATAGCCACAAGAGAGAATAAGTCATTGAGAATTACACTCAAAAAGTCTAGAACAGGCCTGGCCCCATGGCCGAGTGGTTAAGTTCACACACTCCACTTTGGTGGCCCAGGGCTTCTCTGGTTTGGATCCTGGGTGCTGACCTAGCACCATTCATCAAGCCATGCTGAGGTGGCGTCCCACATAGCAGAACCAGAAGGACCTACAACTAGAAGATATAACTATGAACTGGGGGGCTTTGGGGAGAAGAAGAAGAAAAAAGAAAATTAGCAATGGATGTTAGCTAAGGGCCGATCTTTAAAAAAAAAAAAATGTCTAGAAGAAGGTAACCATGGACCTCACTATGTCATATAACACTCCCTAAAGCCTCAGGCAAGCTAAGCTTAAATCCAGCACCTGACTCACCATTTTAAAACACACCAGACGTTAAATGTTCACCCATTACTCTAAAGCCATTCAGCTTCCCACGCCCACAGGACAGTCCTTCATGTGGATAATTCCCTCACATAGCGGTTAGAATACAGAATTTTCTACACGCCCATCACCGAGCCTGGCTCCGGGTCTACACCAAGGAGGAAATGCATTGACATCCCTCCTCCCATGTAGCTTAGTCTAATGGGAGAGACAGACGTGCATTCCCACTGTCTTGCTTTGAAGGCAGGACTGTGCTGCTGTGAAAACACCTAGTAAAGGCGGCTGACCGAGTCTGGGAGGTGGGGAATTCTGAGAGCTTCACTGAGGAAATTCTGCCCTAGCCCAGATCTGAAGGATGAGCAGGAATTAGCCATATGGGGGTAGGGGACGCAGAGGACCTGGAAGGCACAGCATCACAAACAGTGGGAATGGCCCCTTCAGAGCCCCATGGAAAAATGAAGCACCCAAATAACCATTCAACTGAATAAAAAATAAATCAGACAGACAGGAGAGAGGTGATATATGCTCCTCAGCAGGACTATGGTTACTTAAAAACATTTGTTTTAGCATTACATCAAAGAACGGTGTGCACGTAACCAAAAAGTGGCTGAGGAGTGTGTTCAGGGAAACACCACAGTGGGAAAATAGTATTCAAGAATATTTGATATTGAAGTCTCCACTCCAATGAATGAATCCCAGCTCAGTATTGAAGAAAAAATTTTCAGACTGAGAGAAAGCATTTTCTGCCCTCTGGGTAATTAGTAACACTTTTTTGAAGATTGATTATGTAACTTCCTTTCACAGAGAAGTGTTTCTGGAGAATCTGGAGAAAGATTGGTAAGTTTACTTTGATTTTGTTAAAAATTGATGCCTGAATGATTTTTCTGTTACCTATTCTCTAGAAATCAATACGGTTGCCTCCTTTGTCTCCATCACGGAGAGCAGTTCCCTGACTTTCGAAATACCCCCTTGCCCAATTCTGTTTGGAATTGTGTCTAAAATTCAGCATGAAGTACAGTGTATATGCGGCAAAGAGAGATGTCACCAAGAGCTGAAAACGTCCTTTCTCTTGATTTTCTCAAGTTTTGCCAACAGCATAGGTTTCATCCAAGCACATGTATTTATTCCAAAGTAAGAATTTTGATTTAAAATATGATACCAAACAGCTTTGGTGAGGGTGCGAAAGGAACTCTTGAACATGAAACAGCCCGATTCCCTGAGATGTTTATAGTCCTTCCTGTGGCAAGAAAAGATCAAAAGGAAGTGGTTGATGTCGGCTTCCTGCTCTGAACTGACAGCTGCTTCGAGAAACACACATTTAAGTGCTAGGAAGGATGAATAACTTGACCTGGATTTTATCTTAGCTTGAGGTGAGCTGGATGTTAACAGTTGAAGGTTCAATCTTGCGTGACAAAGCTTGCAGGATGACACCTCATATTGAAATAAGCAAAAGCTTTTGGAGAGGGCTGGCCTGGTAGTGTAGTGGTTATGTTCACCTGTTCCACTTTGGCAGCCTGGAGTTTGCAGGTTCGGATCCCAAGCACGGACCTACACACCACTTGTCTAGCCATGCTGTGGTGGCATTCTGTATACAAAATAGAGGAAGATTGGCACAGCCCTTAGCTCAGGGCCAATCTTCTTCAAGCAAAAAGAGGAAGATTGGCAATGGATGTTAGCTCAGGGCCAATCTTCCTCACCAAAAAACAAACAAACAAAAAAACCTTTTGGAGAAAAAAGCAAAATCTGGTGGATCACATAATTGCTATGGTCCTGAAGAAGCTTGCAATTCTCAGGCTTCTCCTAAAAGATGTGTGTTTTTAATACCTTGCTTTTGAGCATCCTAATAGACTGGAGCTGCCTTAAATCAGTAGAGAAGAATTGACAAAGGAGGCCCAGAATCTGGGACCAATAATTGCCTCAAAGTGTCCTCTTCATGACATTCTGTTCATTGCTGCTCACATCCATCAGCATTCTCATATTTCGTCTTAATCTGGGAAAGGAGAAGAGGACTGGGGGAAGATGGCATTGTCGTAGATAAGATTGAAGGGGGCGGGTAGCTATATGTGTCCTCCACCCTATCACACCCCTGGCTGTGCCCCACTCTGGAGATACAGCCAGTCTCCCCTTCCAGCCCTGCAATCCCATATCCTTTCCCCGCTATCGCCCTGGACTTTCATAATCCAGTCTTGCTTCCCATCATCTCATTTCCTACTTGCATTCTAATTTTTAAAAATCATTATTAATAGACTCACGGAGCTGAAAGGCACCTCAAGATATCTCACAACAGATCTGCCTGGGGGCATTCCAAGTTAGCATAATGCCTAATAACACCTGACTTACACGCTTACCAATTTCTTAAAATTATTCATCATAAAATGTGCTGCTGTTGACATCAAATACAGAGCGAAGTTCCATGTAATTTGTCTCTGAGTTTTGTTACACTCTGTTGCCAATTACAGGAAGATGTCGATCAAGTAACGCTTCATAGCTACAAAGTCCGATCCACGATTACTTCTCGAACGGCCAACACCGTCATCCAGACCAAGGTGGTGAACAACTCTCCACAGCCTCAGAGTGTCGTCTTTGATGTTCAGATTCCCAAAGGAGCCTTCATCTCCAACTTCTCCATGTGAGTAACTCCTATAGAGAACTGGAAATTGGATACACTCTATTCATTGCCCCTCAGGGTTTGATTGGACCTTGATGGTCAACGGCTCCACTGTCAGAGCTGTGGACCCACTGGATGTCACGAGTCATCACTGGGTGAGTCCAAATAATTTGTTTCTGTTCAAAGTATCAGAATTTGTGAAGGCTTTGCCTTTCCTTCCTAATAAATTAAAGCAAATTTAAGGTTATCTCTGTGGTAACAACCTCTTACTTACTTGCATTTTGATATGCTTTCTTTGGGGGGAGAAAAATATATGGAGTTCCCCTGGCCTACAGGAAATCAACACCACTGATTAAATCCAGTCACCTGTCCAGGGCTTGAATCCCTCTACTATACCACTGACAGGTGGGTTATCCAGGCTTGACTTGAATAGCTCCTTAATAATAAACTCGTTCCTTCCTAGGGCAATCCACCCAATGGTGAGAGCTCTGTTAGAACTACTTCTTTTATTTTGGTGAGGAAGATTGGCCCTAACATGACCCAACATCCATTGCCAATCCTCCTCTTTTTGCTTGAAGAAGATTGTCCCTGAGCTAAAATCTGTGCCAGACTTCCTCTACCTTGCATGTGGAACGCCGCCGCAGCATGGATTGATGAGCAGTGTACAGGTCCATACCCAGGATCTGAACCCGTGATCCCGGACAGCCAAAGAAGAGAGCAAGAGCCCAACCACTACACCAGCCAGCCAGCCTCTAGAATTATTTCTTATACTTAATTAAAATCTGTTCCATATTCTACCTAATGACTCTGGTTCTACTCACAAAATATATTTTTTAAATTCTCTACAAAATACGTACTAAAATGTTCAAGGATGAAATGACATGCTGTCTGAAATTGGCTTCAAAGTAATCGAGGTGGACAGAGTAGGGATATAAATAAGATGGGAGATTGGCTGAATATTGAGAATGGCGTAGCCCAGTGATGGGTTCATGGAGGTTCCTTATATTATTCTATTTTTTGTATGTTTGAAGATTTCCATAGTAAAAAAAATTTTTAAACCACCCCAATGCCTTTCAATAGTGAAAGCCAGTTATCTTGTCCCACCTGATGGCTTCGCTTATCAAGACTAGACATTCCCTGTTCCTCCAAGTGATTGGATGGTTTTTCATTCCCTTACCATTTAGGTGACAGTCACCAGAAAGTGCTCCACTTGGTCAAAGTCCTCAAGTGGCCTAGAACAGGGCGCAGGGCCCTAAAGACCGTCTGGCTATTTTTTATTAAGACCTTAGGCTGAGTTACTCTTCACCCGGGTCTTTGTCTTTCTTACACCAAGGTCATCAATGATAATTGTGCACAAAGGAAACAAAGGGCTCAATTATCATGCACTTCAGCTTCCAGGAAATGCAGAGTCAGTTAATTATATTTTCTAAACAAAACAAAGTAGGTGGAAAAAAGGGCATTATGTGACTTTGAATTGGTATCTTTTGAATTGGGTTAGAAATTTCTTTAAAAAAATTTTTTTAGTTCTAAAAAGCAAATGTAGAAGGAAAAGCTTTTATGTAGTGGTATTATGTAACACTGTGTCTGAAAAATTATATTTAAAACGATTTTAATTTTTATTTTTAAACCACGTAACCAGGAGTTATTCTAGGTGCATCTTCTTTCTGTTTTCCTTCATTTTTTTCTTTCTTCTCCATCTCATTCCATAGAAGATTTGAGATGACAAAAGTCAGAATTGCGAAATAGACATTTATTTTGGTCTCCCTCCACTCGGGGCTGAACTTACCAGACCAGAGAAGACAGCTGCTTGTATCGCCACAATTTAACATGAGTTATACAGACCTCCACATCCAGTCAAAATATTTCTTCTGCCTTTTTTATCAAGGTTACAAACATTCTACCTTTAGAGATGATTTCCTTTTGTCATAAAGACTTTTTGTCATGAACCTTAGTATGACTTGATGGAAAAAGTGCTGACCTGGATAGATCGGGTCCAGGGCTAGCTGTGTCTCTGATAAGCTGTGTGACCTTGAACGAGTCACTGTCTCCTTGGCCCTCTCTCATCTAAAGAGATGAACCTAGAAGTGTGCCTCAACAAACACGTTATTGGCATTTGGGACCGGACAGTTCTTTTTATTTTTTTAAAGATTGGCACCTGGGCTAACATATGTTGCCAATCTTCTTTTTTTTCTTCTTCTTCTTCCCAAAGTCCCCCAGTTTACAGTGGTATATTCTAGTTGTGAGTGCCTCTGGTTGTGCTGTGTGGGACACCGCCTCAGCATGGCTTGATGAGTGGTGCCATGTCTGTACCCAGGATTCCAACCGGCTAAACCCTGGGCCGCCGAAGTGGAGCGCACGAACTTAACCACTCGGCCACAGGGCCGGCCCCAGGACAATTCTTTAGTGGAGCTGTCCCTCACATTGCAGAATGTCTTGATGCCCTCCCATAAGACCAGTAGTGCTTCTCAGTCATCTGGACAGCCAAAAACTGCTCCACACCTTTCTCAATACCTCCTTGGGGAGAGAGAGACTGCCCATTTGAATGCCATAAGTCCCATTTTATTTTTAAAATTCTGTATTTTGAGTGTTCTAATCAATCATTACTTGGCACAGATGAAAGGACAGCCAATCGGAAGTAAAACAGGTGTGGATGGAGATGCAAGGAGAAGACAGAGGCCCCCGAGGGAGACGTTATAGGAACACAAACTCTGCAAAGAGATCCACCAGTACCTTTCTCCATCTTTCTGCACTCTTTCCCACCCTGGCAGGAAAGCATAATGGCCCCAGGCTAGCCAAGATCCTTAACTTGTAGAAGGATTCCATAAACCAAATGTAAGCCAGATAATGAGGGATTCATCCGTCACCTCTCCTAGGCACATTTTAATTCAAAAGGGCTGTCCCAAGAGAACAGCACTTAATCTGAAGGGTTAAATCTGAAAACGAGGAAAAATTTTAAACACAAGCAACAGAACGTGAAGGAAAGTTTTTAGGATGGGAGCCTACCTGTCGCCCTTTAATTGCACGCTCAGATAAAGCTAAAGGGACTCCTGTCTATGAAATATGATCTCTTCTCGTTTCTTCCAGGTGCAATACGGTAATTGCCCCCATTCATTACATCCACCTACGTGGCATGTTTGTTTGTGGTTTGCTTGTTTTGCTAAGATTGCTCTTCAGACCAACTGGTGGCCTTCTGTCATTTTCTAGGACTGTCGATGGCACAACATTCACGAGTTCCGTTAAGGAGAAGAGTGTGGGCCGAGCGCTCTACTCACAGGCCAGAGCGAAAGGCAAAACCGCTGGATTGGTGAGGTAACGTCCAGAGAGAGTGACCTGCTCCCTTGTCCCGCTGCTGCTCTGCTCAGTCCTATTGCCCCTACAGCAAACCAGCCTCCAGAAAGGTCCAGACCTTGTAGTTAGATGGTAGAATCAGGTTCCCAATTTCTATTTCCCAAAGGCCTCTCTGCAACCAATGAGTGTGGCTGATCTCACACAGGTTATCCTTACATAGCTTGCCTTGAGAGTGGATGGATGCTCTGTAACTAAAGGTTGATTTTCTTTAAGAGTGCATAGAGGAACTCCAGAAATATTGCTGGTCTTGTTACAGCACTTCCCATGCATACAGAAAGAAGGGCTGGGAATTTGTTTTAATGATTTATTCTGCCTTATTTTTATGGGGTAGAGTTTTTTTCAGCACCAGTTCCTTAGCTTAGCTTCTGTTGATTTTTTTCCCCCTTATAATCCTAAATAAGACACTGGGAATGCAAAACCATCCTCAAAAAGGCAGCCTCTCAAGCAAGAAACCTCTAAGGAATTTTCGACCCGTCACTCCTCACACGGCACATCTGATCTTCTGCCAGATCCTGCCATCCTTTTTTCTTCATTTCCTTCTCCTCCTCTGTGTCCCCAAATTCACCTTCATTTGAAGCTCTTTCCATTTCATTCATGCATTCCTTCATTCAATGAAAATGCATTGAATGTCAACTTGGTACCCAGTTCCGTCAGAGGCGGCAGCAACACAAACACTGTCAGGCCAGTGGAGGAGACAGACAAGGAACCTAGAATATATAGGTGACTATAATATATGTAATACATATAAGGGCAAGCTCTAATGTAGAAAGAGTGCAAAAACCTATCGGAGTTCCAAGTACCAAGTGTCCAATTCTGTCTGGGGACCCAGAAAATCATCACAGAGGACCTAATGTTTGGGCTGAGCCAAAGTAGATTAACAGAATTCAGCCAGGTGGAGAAGGGAGAGAAGAAATTCCAAGCAAAGGGAGCACTTCCAGCGTTAATCCAGGTTAATTAGTTCTCTTATCTTTGCATACTATTTTGCCATCTTTATCCATCACTTTGACCACCTTATCCAGTCCTTTCTTCCTTTGCTCATTCCACAAATATTTATTTGTAACTGAAACTCTCCTAGGTACTGTGAACAGGGCTCAACAGAGAACACAGGGCTCACGTTCTGGTCCGCTCCGCAGATAAATATGGCCTCTCACTGCTTGCTCTACTTCTAAGCCTTATACCAGGGCTTGCTCATCTTTTCCTTCAGCTACCCAGCATCCCAAGCTGACCCATCTACGGTACCTCCCTGATCCCGAATGGGCTGATTACGCACAGTCTCACCTTGCTTATTCGGTTATTTAATTTTTTAAAAATCATTCGTTATTTATCCTGATGCTCAAATCACCTTCCTTTGATGATCTTGCTGCTTTCTCCTTAACACCATAAACACCTCAAGATCAATGAGCACATTGGACTTGATATACACATGACTAAATAAGGACTTTGGCTGGAAATAGTTATTCAATTTGATGAAATATAGATTTATTCTTTCTGAAGACTTTCAAAAATAAAAAGAATCACTAGAATGAGTTTGAAATGCAGCCGAGGAAATGTGTGCTGTCTCTGGAATCATCTAAACCTGGGTTTGAGTCCCAGCCCTACAACTGACTGGTCGCGTGGTCCTGAGCAGGTTGCTTATCCTTTATGAGCCTCCTTTGTTACCATTCGATAAATGAGGGTAATGATACCCACCTTGCAGAGCTGCTGTATTAGGGATCATGTGTCACTTTCCTGGTACGTACTAGGGATCAATAACTGGTAGCTCTTTGCAGATGACACTCAAATCTGTAAGAAGCTCTGGAAGAAAAAGATCAGGTAGGAGAGAACACTGAAACTGTAGGCGGAATTAAATTGATCCGGAATTTGCAATTTTCTCTATTGTACCTACTGCTCATTTTCATGAACAACTGAGCAGGTTAGATTGCTCAGGAAAGTCTGGACACCCTCTGCCTAGATGCTGGTCTCGTGCTCGATCGTGCATGTGATGACTTGTGTCGGGGGTCGCCTCTTTAGGAGCAGGGCTCTTGATATGGAGGACTTCAAAACCGAAGTCAACATCCTCCCTGGAGCAAAGGTGCAGTTCGAACTTCATTACCAGGAAGTGAAGTGGAGGAAGCTGGGATCCTATGAACACAGGCTTCATCTGCAGCCTGGACGGCTGGCCAAACACCTGGAGGTGAGCATGGATGGGCGGGCTGTGCACCGACGCCATCCTCTATGGTTCCTATCCCCGATTGATACTTTCTGTCTCACCACTCTTTGTGTCAGCTCTGCCAGACCACGTGGTGTCCTGAAAAGATGATGGGTTTGGAGTCCACCAGGCCGCTTCCTTACAGATTTCAATGCCAGCTCTGCATTCCTTTGCTAGGGCAGCTGGAATAAACGACCACCAACTGGGTGGGTTACACCAACAGAAATGTGTCCTCTCACAGTCCTGGAGGACAGAGATCTGAAATCAAGGTGCCGGCAGGGCCGCTCCTAGGGACTCCAGGGGGAAGTCTGTTCCTTGCTTCTTCTGGGGTCTGGCGGCTGCTGGCGTTCCTTCACTTGTGGCGTCATGGCCACATCACTCCAATCTCTCCCTCTGTGTTCACATCGCCTCCTCCTCTGTGTGTCTCAAGTCGCCCTCTGCTTTTCTCTTGTAAGAACACTTGTCGTTCGATTTCAGGCCCACTGGGTAGTACAGGATGATCTTGTCTCAAGATCCTTAACAGATCCGCAAAGACCCTCTGTCCAAATAAGGTCACATTCCCAGGTTCCAGGGGCTTGATGTGGACATATCTTTTAGGGGGCCACCATTCAACCCATGACACTAGCCTTCTGACATGGAACAAGTTACCCCAAGAGTCTATCTTTTCATCTGTGAAAAGGGTACTGTATATATTTTCCGTAGAACTTATGGAAATAGGTGGCAGGTGCTAGGAACTCAATGAATGTTCACTGTCTTCCTCTGCCACCCCATTCCCCTGCCCATTTGAACTCACCTTTGCTGTAATCGTCACCGCTTGCCTTAAGAAACGAGACACTCTTCTTGGCTGGAACCTCCATGACATCACGTGAGCATTTTGTGTAAGAGGCAGAGTAGAGCCAGAAGAAACCCAGGGGAGTGTACAGTCCCACCTGCCTCGTCATTTGACAGGGAGGAAGGGAAAGCCGACAGGTGGGGAATTGCCCGTAGACAAAGACGACTCTGGAGATGAATCGATCGTAGTGAAATTTTTATTCCAATTTCAAAACTTGCGCATCTGATCAATAAAAAACACTTTCTTCTTCATGTTCACTATGGCATTAATTTGCTCTCAGGGTTTATGACGTTGAGCTCTTCTCAGAGTCCCTCCTGGCACATACGATGCCTGTGTATGAATTAGAAAAAGATGCCCTTCCTCCAGGCAAATGCAGCCCCGTTTCAGGGCACGTGACTTGGCAAGTGGGTGAAGGGCTGGATGTCCGCCCCCTCTTGCAGTCCTGGCCAGCCGCCCTGCACAGCACAATCCGTGACCCTGGGGATTTTTCCTGGAGTGATGAGGACTGTGTGTCAGTCACCCGCACTCTCTTGCTCAATGCTGTGAATCCCCTGGTAAATAGCATGAGGCAGCAGTTAGAGGTGATCAGCATCTCGCTTATAATGATGCAATTGTTGAGGCTGTTGATAAGAATAATATTAACAGCAACTGAGTTAAAGATATGAAAGTATTTGTCTGCTATAATATTTTGGGCAAGGTGTTTATACATAGTATATGTCGTTGAACCCTCACCACAAATTATGAGGTAGACACCGTTATCTCTGACTTACAGATATGTATAAATAACTTGCCTAAGGTCACAGAGCAAGGACATAATTAAGGTTTGAGCCTAGGTCTGACTGCATCTGCAACCACACTGTGGACTATACATCCTAGAATTTGAGTTTGTGTCCGTGAAGGTCATGATTCTTACCACACAGATCAGGTAGCCTATAAGTCTTTCTTATATTTCTGAAATTTGTAATCATCCTTAAATTTCTCACGCTCTTAGGAATTCCTAATTTTCAAAATAGGATGGAGTTTTAGTAGGTCAGAAAGAGCGTCAGACACAGTGGCAAGTTCCCTGAGTTCTGGTCCAGAATGGGCACTGACTAGCTGTGGGATCTGGGCAGTTCTGCTCCCCAGCCTTAACTTTCTCATCTGTGAAAAAAGAGGTTGGACTAGATGATTTTTAAGGTACTGTCTGATCTAATAGTCTATGAAATTTATCCATTTCCAAAGAGACTTGATCTCATCCAAAAATAAATTAAGGAGAAAACATAAAATTATAGAACTTCTCCTGTCTTTATTTTTAGAAACGGTTTCTAATCACTGTCAGAAAGGCCGCCAAGTTGGAAATGCATTTCCCTCAAGGAATCAAGGGGAACAGATCTCTGTTTAAACCCTCTTTGATGTATCGAATTTTGGGAAAACTTTTCGTTCCAACTCTGTGATCCTTACAGAAAGACTAGGAAATATGGGGAGTGACTCGGGGCCACTGTGGGTTGGTCCCAACTTCTCAGTGGGACCAAGCGCTGGGCCTCAAGAATAGGCCTCCAGATGCACAGTGTCCCAGCAGGTCCACTAGATTCTAAGGCCACATCAGTATCAAATTGAACACAGGACTGCTAAGAGCTTTTGTGGCCCTAGGGAAAACGTCCTCCTTCCATTTTCATCCTCTATGGAGAGACTAGACTTCATCTTGAGTACTCTAAATTCATTTACAGATAGAATCTCGTGGAAGAATGAAAGCAGAGCCTCCAGGTTTTTTCCCTTTCCTCTAAGAGCCTCTCAGTTGTCTACCCACAATGGCTAGGTCCGACTCTCCTGGGACATTTGGTCCTCCTGATTCTGTGTATATTTAATTCTTACCAACTTGGAGAATCATTTGATCATTTGGAGTTAATGGGAATCTTGGAGGCAAATAAAGTTTACCTCTTATACTGGAATTTGTACTAACCAAGAAGGAAAACGTTGACTCTGCTTAGACAAGCGTCCATGACTTTAGGAAAGCAGAATTTTTTTAAAAATTAGAAAAAAAGGTTGGCACGACTTCAAAGCCAGGAACTTCCAAAGGGGAGATAGCTCATCACTGTCGAAAATGACTCTAGATGAGGAAGAGGCAGTAAGGAAACCAGTGTATGCACACGGTTCTATCTGATGACCTCAACTTTAAGTGGGTGTGTACAAAAGGTGGGGGGCAATCTAAAGAAAAACAAATAGAATATTGTGGCATGGGGCTAAAGAATAGTGTGGTAATGTCAACTGAAAAGATAGAGCAGAAGCTGTTGAAAGTCAAGCAGCAGCATACGAAGCATTAAGAGCTCAGGCTCTGGGTTTGAAGCACGGCTTGGCCACGTACTAGCTGAGTCACTCTGAATCTCTGTTTCTTCCTCTGTAAAATGAGAGATTACAAACAAGAACAATCACAGATAATAATAACAGTATCAGTGAGAGTTTAGTGAGTTCATACAAGTCCAGTGCTTGGCGCAGCGCTTAGAGTCTATAGGGAGAAATGGCAGCTATGACTATGGTTCGACCAAGGATCGCCCAAAGGGATTGCCTCCTCTTTAGCTCTGTCTAAAACAAAAAGACAGAAAAAAAAAGAAGTTCCAGGATGTGGAGGAAATGGTCTATTACTGACAGATCTACAGAGTAAATACAGACTCATTGAACAATGGCTTTTCTTCTTTTTCTTTTTCCTCACAACATGAATGCTCCTCTAAATAAAAAGAATAGAATAGGATAGGAGAGGGGAGGGGAATTAAATCTCAGAGGAAGGAAGTGATAGAAGGGAAGTACTGAGGGGCCATTTCGAGATGAACCATGTCCCAGAGAATTTAAAGAATGGGCAGAAGTGATTCATGGAACCATACTGGGTCATCTTCAGGAAAACTTGAGGATGAGAAAAACAGCAAAGGACTTAGAAATTGTACTTCTTGCTCAAAAAGCCTTGGAAGGTATTTTCATACTTTGAGTAATTTTCTTTTCTTTTTTTATTAGTATCTCTTTCTTCATGTTTTTGTTGGTTTGTTGTACTTCCTTTTTTCATTGGGGTAACATTGGTTTATAACATTATGTAAATTTCAGGTGTACATCGTTATATTTCTATTTCTGTATAGACTACATCATGTTTACCACCCAAAGACTGATTACCATCCATCACTGTAATTTTGAGTAATTTTCTTTCCCATCTCCAGGTAGACGTGTGGATTATTGAACCTCAGGGACTGAGATTTGTTCATGTTCCTGACACATTTGATGGCCATTTTGACGGTGTTCCAGTCATATCTAAAGGACCCCAGAAGGTACCATAAGTATTGCATGTTGCAAAGACTCTAAGTGGCCGCTAGCTCCTGGGTTCGGGCCTCTTCCCGTGCTCTGGGGAGCAGAGAAGCTGTCAGATGTTGAGCCGAGGAAACTATAGGAAAGAGCAGTGGTCCCTGAGCAAACTCTGGGGTCTTCCACAGGATACACAAACTAAAACCTCCAAATGTTGCATTGCATTTTGACTAGCGACTGTCCCTTTTGGAGCCTCATTTCCCCCCAAGTCATCTCCTTGGCCAGCTAAAAGACAGATTTCACATAATGCATGGTGGATTTTCGTTAATCACAGCAAGAGATATTCAGCTTAACTCTCTCTGCCTTAATGGCTAATAACAACCAACTAGAGAAGGGTCAAGCTCCTCTAAGAATCTTTCACAAACTCCTTCTAGAGCTGGGAGACATTTCTTCCAGCGTGGAGGGGAAGAATTCTTTGAACCTCTTAAGAAGACCCAAAACCTGGCCAACAGCACCATAGGCTGGCAGATGCTCCCTCACATGCATTGGCACTGTCCCTTCCATCAGTAATAGGACCATGATGCTGCCTGGGTGCAGAATGGCAATACCTCTTTACCCGTGTGCACGAGAAGATGCAGCTGTCAACCACACCCCTGGAGAGGGATGGTGGCAGAGACCAGGCTCTGACATCACTATTCTTTCCAGGCACATGTCTCCTTCAAGCCCACGGTAGCACAGCAAAGAAAATGTTCCAACTGCTTGGAGACTGCGGTAGATGGAGAGCTGGTGGTGCTGTATGACGTGAACAGAGAAGAGAAAGCCGGGGAACTTGAGGTGCGTGCAAACAGTCTGGGAGAACGGCCGTGCTGAGGTCAAAGAACTGGTTCTCATTGGACAAACTCCCTGGCTTCTGGGTGGTTCCTAGCTGCCAAGACAAGTGTCAAGGCTGCAGAGAAGGGACCAAAACCATGTCTCCCTAAGTGTCATTAAGGATTATCTTTTCATGTCAAGAAAACTGAATAAAGGGTCCTTGGGTGTCACGACCCAGAAAGGTACTTCTAGGCCTCATATAAAGAACAAGAGAAAAATCACAAAATGGGGGTTTTGGATAATCTTCCAAGGTCCTTTGCAATTAGACTATCAAAGAAGGCACAGAAGTTGTGGGGCTGGGAGGAAGGAAAGACCAAAGCCTAGAGAAAGAGCTAGGGCTAGTGGCAGATTCCAGGGCCCACGTTCACTGTGAAATTTCTTGAAATTTTCCCCTTCCCCCTTTGTCATGTCTTAGATGCACGTCTGTATTTCCTTTGTGCTAAGGTAAGAAATCTTAGAGGGTATCCAAAAGCCTGTACTTCTCTCCAGGGACAGGGAGGTAGGCAAGTGTCCACAGCTATACGCCCTACAGCTGGACACGAGGCTGTCCTGGTGGAGGCAGCCAAAGGGCAGCTGAGAGAGAATGAGGGGAGCCAATCATCAGAGCCGCAGGGGAAGACCAAGAGAGTGGCCAGGATCCCAGGTGGAGGGGCCTCCCGTTCACTTCAAGAACAGTCCGAACTCCCTAGAGAGCACCTTAGGTCCTTCATGATGTACCCTGCTGATTCTCCACCCTAATTCCTTGAATTCTTGTATGCTATGCCCCACTGGGATGAACCACTTGGAGAGCCCCAAGGGTGCCAATGTCTCTCACACTAGGGCTGCACTCTCTGGAACTCTCCTCCCCACTCCTACCACCCCCCAACCCAGCCCCACTCTCACGCTGGCAGGCTGACGCCAAACTCATGCTAAAGTCCAGCGTAGATGCCATTTCCTTGGGAAAGTCCCTCTTGTCTGGGTTAGAGGCACCTCCAATGCGTGTTCTCAGAGCCCTCCATATTCCCGATCACAGCACTTACCAACCCTGGGCTGCAAAGTGCCTCTTCGCTTGTCTGGATCCTCCACTGGCCTGTGAGCCTCACCAGGGCAGGGCTCTAGCTGATTAACTGTGGGTTAGCAGGGTGCCCGGAACAGAGACTGGAGTGAACTGAAGTACCCTGGGGAATGAAGCTGCCAGGAAGGCTCGGACCTTCCCAGGAAGGGAAGGAGGGAGAGCAGGAAGGAGAAGGGAGAGATGGATGGATGGCAAGCCTCTGTTCCCTCCCTTCCGACCACCATGCCTCCTGCAAACCCGATGCATCTCTCCTCCCTTAGTCCCCAGGCTCCCTAACTTCCTACATTCTAAACCTCGGAAACAGTTGGGCTCACAAATATGTTCTGTTTTTCAGGTTTTTAATGGATATTTCGTCCACTTTTTTGCTCCTGACAACATGGACCCAATTCCCAAAAACATCCTCTTTGTCATCGATGTTAGTGGCTCAATGTGGGGAATAAAAATGAAACAAGTAAGTCCCCCCCTTGGTGGCAGCAGTATGTGGGACTCCCTACCTTCGTTGGTCCCCTCCCAACAGTGCAATCATTCAATGCCCGCTTACCCCTTAGGGCTTGTCTCAGTCAGCTTGGGCTGCTGTGACAAAGTACCACACCCTAAATGGCTTATAAACAACAGAAATTCATTTCAAAACTCACCTTTTTGAAAAATTTCATCTCAGTATAACCTCTTCTCACTCGGATCCTTCTTCTGCTTCATAGTCTTTTGGTTCTTCTGCATAATGTTTTACATGACTATCTTCCCATTGTTCACAAGTAACTTGAAATCATTAGATGCATATCTTTTCTGATTATATTGCAATTCCTTGAGCGTAGCCATCCTGTGTCGTGTCTTCCAGTTTGGAGTTCAACATGGATTAATCAGCCTTCAGTGGCGTAGATGCAATTCTAAGTAACAAACAAGGAAATTTATTTTATCTATCAATCCATTCATCCAACCAATTGGAACAACCAACTAACCATTCATTCATTCATTTAACAACCATTTCTTATCACCCATGTGTTCACCACAGTTTGAGGATCCAAAAGAGGAAAATACATGGCCCCTGTCCACTGTGCTTATCCCCCAGTACCAGCTTTTCCAACAGTGGCACTATTGACATTTGGATCGGATAATTCTTTGTTGTAGGGGCCGCTCTGTACACTGTAGGATGCTTAGCAGCATCCCTGGTCTCTACCCACTAGATGCCAAAAGCACCCACCCCCTCAGTCATGACAATCAAAAACATCTTTGGATGTTGCCAAACGTCGCCTGGGGAGAAAACTGCCCTTAGTTGAGAACCACTGCTCTAACACAAGAGCTTGCTCCCTGCTTCCTTTCTTCCTTCATTTATTTAATAAATATTTATTAAGCACCCACTGTGTCAGGCACTTCATTGGTAACGAAATCAACCAAAAGCATTAAAAAAATCATCCCTGCTCTCACGGAGCTTACAGAGCTTCTGGGGTATGGGGGGACAGAGAATAAGCAACAAACACAGCAAGTAAATTTAAAAGTATCTTCAATGGTGATGTTATGAAAAACGCCCTTTTTAAGAAAAAAAAAGAGGAGTGCATTAAGAATCAGGTGTGCCAATTGCAGGGGGATGAAATTTTAAACATGTTTGTCCTCTAAACAGGTGCTTGCATTGAGAAGACCTTGAGTAAACCCTAGGAGGGTGAGGGGAGAGTCGTGCAGATTTCTGGGGGAAGATCCCTGTAGGCGTCAGGAGCAGCCAGCGCAATGGCTCTAAGTGGGGAGAGTGTCAGGCGCGTTCAAGGAGCAGAGAGAAGAGCGGTGTGGCAGGAGGTGGGGGAAGCAGCGGGAGATGAGATTTGAGAAGGAAGGGGCAAGGGCAGATCGTGTAAAGCCTGTTAGGTCATTATGAGAACCTTGGCTGTTACTTTGAGAGAAATGGAGAGCTGTTGGAGGATTTGGGAAGAAGGAGTGGTATGAGCTGACTTATGCTTTAAAGGATGTCTCTGGTTGCTATGGTGCGAATAGACTGGCAGGAGGTGAGGGTGGAAGCAGGGAGGCCAGAGAAGAGGCTGTTGCCGTCATCCAGGCAAGAGACGGTGATGGCTTGAACCTGGGTGGCAGTTGTGGATGTGGCAAGAAGTGATTGGATTCTGGAATCTGTTTTGAAGGTAAACAGAATCTCCTAAGGCTGTGAGGTGACAGGGAAGAAAAGGGGACTGAAAGATGTTCAAACCCGTTCTGCCTGAGCAATGGGAAGGAAGGATGGCATTTGCCATCAGTGAGCTGGAAAAGACAGGGGCAGAATCAGACTTTGTGGGGAATATTGGGGGTTCGGTTTTGGACATGTGAAGTTTGAGATGTCTATTAAATATCCAAGGGTGCATGTCAAGCAGGCTGTTGGCTAGACAAGTCTGATGTTCAAAGGTGAGACATCGAAATATACAATTAGGAGACACTAGTATGTAGAAGGCATTTACAGCAATGCGACTAGATGAGTACACCAAGGGGTAAGGGTAGATAGAGAAGAGAACCAAGATCGAACCCTAGGCTAGTCCAAAAATTAGAATTGGGAGAGAAAAGGAGGAACTGGCAAAGAAGACTAAGAAAAGACAACCAATGAGAGGAGGAGAAAACCAAGAGAGTCTGAGGCTCTGGAAGACAATGAGGAAGTCATATTAGGAGGGTTTGACCAGTTGGTTCAAATGCTGCTCATAGGTTGAGTCTGAGAAGTGGGAATAGTCCACTGGATTTAGCAACGACCTTGACAAGGGCAGTTTCAGTGGAGGGATGATGGTGAAAACCTGAATGGGCTACATTTCAGAGAGAATAGGAAAAGAAGATTTGGAGACAGTATGTTTAGATAATCCTTTCAAGGAATTTTATTGCAAAGGGAAGCTGAGAAATGGATACAAATGGGACTTGTAAAGGGATGAGAAGTAGCCCGTTTTTATGTTTATGGAAACGTACCAAGAGAGGAGGAAAATTTAAGACGTAGGAGAGGCAAAGAACAGTTGATAGAGTGACTTCCCTCAGTAGATGAGAGAGAATGAAATCTAGTTCACCAGCAGATGGATTTGCATTAGGTAGAAATACTACTAGTTCTTCCATATTATCAGGCAGGAAGGAAAAATATATGAGTAGAAATACTGGTAGGCAGGATTTTATGGTGGTGCCTGTTGTAGCAACTTTCTTCTGATTGCTTCAGTTTCTCAGTGAAGTAGGAATCCAGGTCATCAGACGAGACACGTGGAGGGAGGTGTGGACGTGGACGGTTTGAGGATGAGAAGTAGTAGTTTACGAGAGTGGGTGAGGGGCTGGCCCTGTGGCTGAGTGGTTAAGTTCGCGCGCTCTGCTGCAGGCGGCCCAGTGTTTCGTTGGTTCGAATCTTGGGCGTGGACATGGCACTGCTCATCAAGCCACACTGAGGCAGCGTCCCACATGCCACAACTAGAAGGACCCACAACGAAGAATATACAACTATGTACCAGGGGGCTTTGGGGAGAAAAAGGAAAAAATAAAATCTTTTAAAAAAAAGAGAGAGTGGGTGAGTAGCTGGACTTGAGAAATATGTTTGATTTGCAGGCACCCCCAAGGGAGCAGCTGAGGTTTGTGATCATTAACTTAAAATAAGACTGAAGTGGTTGTGCATAACAAAATAAGACAGTAAAAGTTTAAGCATCAAAATGCAGACAAGACATGTTCAGAGCAAGTGCAAGATAGATCTGTGTTGACTGAGGTGGATTTAAGAGGTTTTCTGGAAGAATTACAGCTTGAGTCACTACTTGAAAGATGACTAGGATGAATTCTTGGTCTTCCCCCTTTCTTCTTAGACTTAGAGCTTATGTAATGAGACCCTTCTCTATTCTCTTTCAAAATAGACAGTGGAAGCAATGAAGACCATATTGGATGACCTAAGAACTGAAGACCAGTTCTCTGTGGTTGACTTCAACCACAACGTGCGAACCTGGAGAAATGATTTAGTCTCAGCTACTACAACACAGGTTGCAGATGCCAAAAAGTACATTGAGAAAATCCAGCCCAGTGGAGGTCCGTGAGTTTGACATAAAGCCCAGTGAGAAACTTCCATAGGGTTCAATTCTTGATTCACTGGAGAACTATTATTCCCTATCACTGTGGTCTTTGCCCACTCTGCAGCGTTCTGCCTTAAGTAATATGCTTATTGTTAAACGATGAATACTAAGTTTGTGGTGAAAGTACACATCCCACACTAGTTTTTAACCATTCCAGCCTTCCTCAGAAAAGCGTCAGTAAGTGACACCAGCCTTCTTGTTAACTCGCACAGCATAAAATGTCCCCGCCTGCAGAACAGTGTCCAAGTATACCAGCAAGGCTGATTTAGGTACCTTTAATTTGGTGTTTAACAAAACGATAGACTGGTGCATTGAAAGGGCTAATTCAGCTCTAAGGGGATAGTTTACCACAAAGTGAACATTTTACTCCCCTGGGAGATCTTGACCAGACTAAGCAAAATGTGTGCCACTTGGAAATGCAATCGAATGATTTGGGTACTGAATAAATTATGCATGAGCAATCACCTGACTGATGAACCTGAAGCCAAGACGTCATTGTTCTGTGCAATGAAAGAGTGCATGACAGAACAGCTCATTATATCGCTTGAACAGGCACAAACATCAACGAAGCGCTCCTGCGGGCCATCTTTATTTTGAACGAAGCCAACAACTTGGGATTGTTGGACCCCAACTCAGTCTCCCTGATAATTTTGGTTTCTGACGGCGATCCCACAGTAGGCAAGTATCGCTTCGATTTTCTACTGACAAATATTTTTACCGTTGTTTCTTGGGAACGTGATTTGCTTGAAACGGGAAATCTAATTGCATTTGCCTGAGTTTCTAAACTATTTTAAATCCTGCTCCTTTAAGAAGGCTTCTTTTGACCCTAAAACACTCACCCCGCTGAAACAAATTCCCAGATATCTTTCAGTGATGCTCTTGAATGCCTCCGTTTCATCTCCATATCGTGGGAAAATGTGAATTGGAATTGTAATAGTAAGCTATGAGGGTTGCTGATACCAACTAATGAAATGCATTTATTTCCTCCATTGAGGCAGGTGGGATGGTGTGTGGGAGTGTGTATGATGAGCATTTATCCCAAGGCTCCAGTAGTACCCCTGGAGGCCGCAGGAACATACTCTCCCTCTGTTCTCCACGTTGCCCTCAGTTACTCACCGAAACTGGAGAATGACTTGTCTTCTTCTAGTTTCTCTTCTGTGGAGAAATTCCAGACGTCCTGTATGTGAAGCATTTTTCTTATCCACAAAATGGCTCAACATCTCTCTGCTTCTTCCATGTTCTGTTATTTTTATGTGCTTATTTGGGTCTTTACCCTGACAAATGTAGGCGAGAGTGAATGCTAGATTCTGCGGCAGTCTGTCGTGTAGACAAGCACTGTGGCCCACCCGCACCTGACACAGCTCAGTGGAAGGAAGACGAGTGAGCCGATCGTGACAATGGCAACCAGAGTTTTAGAAAGGCGAAGAGCAACCGTTTTATTAATGGGGAGACTAGAACGACCGTGGTTATGTATTTGTTGTAGATTCCATGTGTTTTTTCCACCTTGGATCAGATTACTTTGGAAATTCAACTTTAGAATAAAATCATTAGGAAGAAAAGGAAATATAGTAAAAAAATTAAGCCTACTTCTCACTCCTGTCCCTCAACCATCCAGTTCCTGTCACTGGAGGCGATCGCTGGTTGCCAATTCCTTGTGTGTCTTTCCAGAGATATTCTATGCATATCTGTCTACTGTATATGCATACATATACATATATGTGACTATATACACACATGTATACATACACACATATATGCATGCATATATACAAATACATCCTACATATACCAATTTTTACATTGATTTTCCCCTTTAAAATTGTGCCTTTGAGATCGGTCAATATAAATACATCAAGAGTCACCTTGATCTTTTTAATAACTGCATAGTATTTCGCAGTGTGAAAGGATCGTAGTTTAACCAATCTCACTTATTGGTGTACGTGTGAGGGTTTCCCATCATGTTGCTATTCTCAGTAATGTTGCTATGTACCGTTGCCCACACTGCGTTTCAATATGCATGAGTGCATCAGTGAGAAAAAATCCTGGTTGAGTCGCTGGGTCAAAGGGTAAGTGCATTTTTAATTTTGACCAGTTTTGCTAAGCTGTCCTCCATGGATTTTTCAAAAATTTTACAACGTTGCCTCCTTCCTTTCCTTTCTGTCATCATCAACTTCAGGTGAACTGAAGTTGTCAAAAATTCAGAAAAACGTGAAGCAGAACATCCAAGACAACATCTCCTTGTTCAGCTTGGGGATAGGATTTGATGTAGATTATGATTTTTTGAAGCGACTATCCAATGAAAACCGCGGAATTGCTCATAGGATTTATGGAAACCAGGACACTTCTTCCCAGCTCAAGGTAACATTTTTCTCCTATTCTTATCTTTTTTTGCTCCACTCAAAATCATTCGACTAGCAATATCTGAAGCCTAAAAGAAGACAGCAGAATTTAAATGAAAATTGTCATTATTTCCGCTATATTCAGCTGCATGAATCAGGCAGGTGTTCGAGTCCTTTCTCATGCACCCCACCCTACTTGTATATCAGCTTTAGCAGTGAGGTGAGAGGCTGAGGCCAGGGGCGCGCAGTTCCGTCCTCCCTGAACAAGTCTTCGGAGACACTGTCAGAGCTTCTTGCGGCTCTCCGTTCCTGCCAAGCAATTGGTCCTCCTCCTCATCATGGCCTCCTGTTTTCCCTTTCAAGTGCATTGGCATCTTGGATATCAACTTTTTATAATGTAACACAGATCAAACTATAGCCTGTAAGTTTCCTTAAATATGAAGGATATGAATTACTCGTTTATTTTGACTAAATGGACAAGAAAAAGATGTAGAAGAACGTACCTTACCCCAGCTGTCGGTACCAGATACCATATATCGAAGGCAGGCACCACACTGAAACTTGGGGACAGGTAAGGGATAAGTTTCTAATTTGGGAATATCAACCCAGCTGACTTTTCTGATTTTCAGTGTCCATCAGCTTTTCATGCTGGTCGTAACAGAAAAAAAAAAAAATTACTAGACTCTTAAATCAATGGTAATACTCTTAACAAATCTTTATCTTCTCTGTGTCTCAGTTCGTCTGATAGTTATGAGAATTTTCCTTGTCCCATAGCTTTCCACAGAGATCTTGTGAGAATAAAATAAGAGGTATCTGCTAAGCTTTGGAAGAATCCCAGAGAAAAATGCTTTAGACCTATAAAGTGGTATGACAATAACGATTTCTCTGTTTTTTTTTTTTTTTATGACTTGTAGAAATTCTACAACCAGGTCTCTACTCCATTGCTCCGGAACATTCAGTTCAACTATCCCCATACGTCAGTAACGGATGTCACTCAAAATAGTTTCCCTAACTATTTTGGAGGCTCAGAGATTGTGGTGGCAGGAAAATTTCACCCTGAGAAATTGGAGCAATTACAGGGCATTATCACTGCGACTTCGGTACTTTCGCTCATTTGCTTATTCTGAAAGTACTAACTCATCCCTTGGACAAGGTCCATCTTGTATAGTAAGAGACTAACACTCTATATTCCAAGAATCTTGCATGTGGAATAAAAGCAGTAAGTGAAAGAGAAAGCAGAAAAAGATCTATGCCATCTTCCCAACTACTGTGTAAATCCTCACGTTTTTCATCCCAAACTCAAACCCAACCCTAGAGGTATGCTTTTACTTCCTGTTTTGTATTCTTTTGAATTATTTTGCATTCCCCTTAAAATTGCATAGGACCCTGATTCACTCACAGTAGGTACAAAAAATGTGGACTAATTAACTATAATTCTGCTTCCCTGGTGTTTTTCAACTGAACCTTCCATCGTCCAGGCTAACACAGAGTTAGTCTTAGAAACCCTGGCCGAAATGGACGACTTGGAGGATTTCCTATCAAAAGACAAGCATGCAGATCCTGATTTCACCAAGAAATTGTGGGCCTATCTGACAATCAACCAACTTCTAGCTGAGCGGTAAGGAGTGAAGAATGTGCCCCACAGGCATTTGCAAAAGTGAAAGGTTTGCCCTGACGATTTGAAGTAACACACAAAAAGACATTGGCACCAAGAAAGGCAGCAAATTAATTCAGGGTTTGGATTATTAATTTCCACTGGTTCCAAGCACTTTAACTAAAGCTGGGTTCACTCTTTTTTCTTTTTTGTTGAGGTGTGACATACATAAAGTGTGTGAAGTGCATGAATTCTGTGTACAGTTGAATGAAATTTTATACGTATCACCCACGTAGTCACCACCCAGATCTACACATAGAGCATGTCCATCATCTCTGAAGGTTCCCTTCTTCTCCGTCCCCTCAACACCCACCTCCCTCCTCCAGTGGAAATCACCACCCGGATGTCAGTCACCATCAATGAGTTTTGTCTGTGGCTAAATTTCGTGTAATGGCTTCCTTCACTCAATATGATGTCTGTGAGATTCATCCATGATGCTGGGGGGTAACACTACTTCATTTGCATTTACCCTTAAAAACAGGTTGTTGTCCAAAGAGAAATTTATGGTAAAGTGATTATGATATAATTGCATAACGAAGGGCACCCTAATAGTTATCTATTCCATCTCTGGCTTCTCAGCTGACCTGCGTTTAAACTCGCCAATAAAAAAACTGTATTTCTAGACTATGTATGCATCAGAATTACATGAGGGTGTTGGATAAGAAAATCACCATCCCCGAGCCCCATGCCTATTCGGTTGGATTCTCGGGAAGATGGAACAGGGTCACCTGAATTAGGTTGTGGAAAATGAAATGTGGTTGGATAACTGGACTCACAGAGAAAATCTGTGATGTCAATAAGATCATAAGACAGACACAGGGTTGTAGCTGTGGCTTGGAAGTAAGCGAGAGCTATCCTCGCCCTTTTACAAAAGCACCCTGGGTGCACTTAAGCGATACAGCACATTGCTGCAGAAATTAAATATTAATTTTTAAAAAACAATCCCTATAAAAACAGATGAGTGGTTGCCTGGGGTTAGGGGGGGCGGCAAAGACGAACAGGTGGAGCACAGAGGATTTTCAGGGCAGTGAAACTACTCTGTGTGACACTATAATGATGGATACGCGTCGTTATACATTTGTCCAAACCCATAGAATGTACATCACCAAGAGTGAACCCTAATGTCAACTATGGGCTTAAGGTGATTATGACGTGTCAGTGCAGGTTCATGGATTGAAATAAATGTCCCACTGTGGCGGGGGATGTTGATAATGGCACAGGCTGTGCATGTGTAGGGGCAGGGGGTAAATGGGAAATCTCTGTACTTTCCACTCAGTTTTGCTGTGAACCTAAAACTGCTCTAACGAAAAAATCAAGTCTGTGAAGAAAAACTCCTTAGGCCTACATAGCTAGATAAAATAGTAAGCTTCATGAAGGCAGTTAGTTTAGTTCACCTTCTGGCCCGCAGGGTCCTGCTTGAACCCCGAAGTGATGAGGTTGTCGAACTTCAGCTCAGCCTTACATGTGGGGATGTCTTCTAATGTCTCTATTTCCTGAATACAGAAGCCTGGCTCCTACAGCAGCTGCCAAAAGGAAAATTACAAAAACAATCCTGCAAATGTCTCTGGACCACCACATAGTGACGCCCCTTACCTCAATGGTGATTGAGAACGAGGCCGGGGATGAGCGGATGCTGGCTGACTCCCCTCCGCAGGATCATTCTTGCTGCTCAGGTCAGTGTTTCTATCTGGTGGAGAAATATGGCCGGTCAGCTTTCTTACCCTGCGTCCAGGTCCTCCGACCTCTGCTGCTCTCCGTGCCCAGCCTGCCTCTGGCTTCCAGGTCGGTGTCTCCTGTGCCCTGAGCTCTTCCTGTACTCTTCCCCCGGTTTCCTTTGGGGACAGCTTATTGCTGTGGTCTTCAAACATTTTTGCTCACATATCTCCCAAAGGAATTTTGAAAACCTGTGTACCCATTCACCCATTTTTCAAATTAAGATTTGAAATTTTTCATCTTGTTTAAATAATTGCAACGAATTTAACTTCTGGCATATTGTAAATATTGAGCTTTTAAAATAAAACTCTTGCATCACTGTCTTAAGTGTAGCCAATGAAATGGAATACTTAAGCTGATGCTCACCATGACCTATTAAAAAAATGGATGAACAAATCCTACTTTAATTATTGGAAATTTTATATATTTTTTCTGGTTGAACTTGGATTTCCATTCCACTTTCTTGGCAGAATTCTGTCCTAACATAATATGTTTTTAGGCTTGAAAGTCTTTTATTGATCATCATACTTCTCTGCAAGAAAAATATGTTTACATATTTAAATTTTCTCAGTTCCTTGTGATCATAGATTCTGAGTGTTCCAAGTTTTCTTCTGTATTATTTTTTTTTTTTTTTTTTTTTAAAGATTTTATTTTTTTCCTTTTTCTCCCCAAAGCCCCCGGTACATAGTTGTATATTCTTAGTTGTGGGTCCTTCTAGTTGTGGTATGTGGGATGCTGCCTCAGCGTGGCTCAATGAATGGTGCCATGTCCGCGCCCAGGATTCGAACTGACGAAACACTGGGCCGCCTGCAGCGGAGCGCGCGAACTTAACCACTCTGCCACGGGGCCGGCCCCTCTTCTGTATTATTTTATTAAAATTACTATGAGTAGACAATTGATCAAAATAATATAAATATATTATAAATTTTGATATGCAAAAGAGGTAAAATTTTATTGGAAATCATCTGTTAATGAGAAAAATGTGGCAGAGTATTTTCTCATTTATCTATGGCTAAGTGTTATTAATAGATGGAAAGAGACAAGATTCAGCATTAATTGTACTTAAAAACTTTTTTAAAGGTATAAATTGGACAAAACTTGTTAGCATTGACAAGTAGATGAGAACAGAAAGACCTTTGTTACAGCAACGTCACTCACTTACCTGATCTTCTTTGAAGTTATAGGACAAAGCTCACGTCAAGATCTAGTATTCAAAAATTGTTTTTAATGCTCTATCAGATGTCAGTCCAGTCCCTACTCTCATTCTGTTGAAAGCAAAGAATTGGAAACTATCTGACTTGCAAATGGACGTGCTTCCCAGTCGTTGGAGTCGTTCTGGTTTTTGGCACGACACCAATTTTCAAATGGACCCTTGGGTTCCAGGGAAGTTTCTGGTGAAGGCAGGCAGGGAAAGAGCACGCCTCCCATCTGTAAACCAGGGGAAAGAGCATTTCTTAGGAGACAGTGTATATGGAAGCTGAGAATCTAGAAATTGCTTTAAAAATGATCCACGATCTCTGCACCCTGTGGAAAGTCCCCAGCTACGCCCAAGGGCGCAGGTGCCAAAGTTTAGAAGACCTTGGTTTATTTATCCAAGTGAGATGCCAACTTTACAGCAGTGGTCCAGGGTTCAAGGAACTCTGACTTCTGCCATCCCAGTTATGATAGCCTGGGGCTTCACAGCTAAATTTACCCAGGGGAAACTCACCCTCGATAAACTGGCATTTACAGGGGATTTTATATCACCTAGATAAAATGCCTAGGTGAACAGGCATTTGTTTCTCAAAGAATGGAAGACTGACTGCATATCAGAATACAAAATGAACTTTTTGTAATAAGTAGAGGAACCTCTTTGGGAAACTAAATTGTTCAGATTGTTGTTTGATGAGTAAAGAGGAACAGATCGGGGAAGATGCTGACTGTAAGCCAGGACTTCTCCAGAAGCTGGACTGGACATTATCTCCCCAGCCTATGCTGAAGGCACTGGAACCTTCCGCGATCTCTACAGGGCAGTTCCTCTGGCTGCAGCCCCTAGCCCCGGTCCCAGACTCTGCAGAGAACTCTACAGCATGACGATAGAAGGAGCCAGAAGAGCGAGGACTCTGGAATAAAAACAGGGGTAGAAAACCTTAGCTGAGAACCTCCTGGGTGTGCATGAAACAGATTCTTGCAATTGTAGGCAACTTCCCTAGAAAAGCACACCTGGGAACTAATGGATACAGATTTTTTTACACAGGTGCCCTGTATTATGGCAGCAAAGTTGCTCCAGGTTCCATCCCATCTTGGGTCAACCCTTCACCAACGCCAATGATCCCATTGCCTGTGAAAGGAGCTCAAGTGCTGGAGTCAACTCCTCCTCCACATGTGATGAGAGGTAAAAGAACAACACTTCCCACATCTCAGTTGGATCATAATCTGTAGAGCTCATTTATTTATATATGCTAGTAAAATCACTGTGCCCTGGGAAGCTAGTTGACTTTTCTGGGCACCGTTGCCTTTCATTCAAAGATAGCTCCCTGTGTTAGTCAGCTTGAGCTGCCGTAACAAACTACCACAGTCTTCGTGGCTTAAACCACAGAAATTTATTTCTGATAGTTCCGGACGCTGGAAGTCCAAGATCAAGGTGCCAGCAAGGTATATTTTTTTCTTGGCTTGTAAGAGGCCGCCATTTTGCTGTAGGTTCACACGGCTTCTTTTTTGTGTGCACACAAGGGGAGAGAGAAAGAGGGCAAGTTCTCTGGTGTCCTTTCTTAGAAGGGCAGTAATTGCATCATGGGAGCCCCACCTCATCTAACCCTAATTTCCTCCCAGAGGCCCCATCTCCAATTAACATCATGTTGGTAGTTAGGGCTCCAACTTATGAACTTGGAGGGACAAGTCAGTCCATAGCACTCTGTTTCCAGCTGTATGAGGTGAACCTTCTGGAATGAGAGAGATGCTCCTCTCATGCAGGGAACACCGACAAAGTGTCAATGGAAAGAACATCCTCTTTAGAGGTTGTTCACACCACCTGTGTGAACTTGAGCAAGTTACTCCATGTGTCCACACTTCACTTCCTTCGTATTGAAAGTAGGCATAAGGATATTTACATAGCTAGGTTATTGATTAAATGTGAAACCATCTTTAAAGGGCTAGCCCATGATAGCCCTTCAATAAGTAGATGTTATTATTAAAGACTAGGAACTATAAATTTTGTCAACACAAATACATGAATGTTAAAAAAAGGTTAATGTTTCCTGTATAGCTACATGTTATTTTGTGAAGTTGTTCCTTTGTTTGTTTGTTTGTTTTGCATAGTGTATAAAAAATCCTAGTTTTACTATCTTAGAAAAACCTTTCTACAAATGATTTCATTGGGAAGTACGAGTGGTAGATGTGATCCTCTGAAAGTTGGAAAACGCACTTCCTTATGAGAGCTTAGACACTGCAGCTTCCTTGTGCAGATTTCTTTGCCTTCCCAACGTCAACCTCTCCAGAGTCTCCTCTCCCAACCAGTGAGAGAGGAGCTGCCTGGGGGAGCTCAGAGAGAGTCTCCTCTCCCGTTCCTGGTCTTGTATTGCTGCCTTTCGCCGAAAGAGATTACAGCTGCCCAGTTAGCTAGACCTCTGTAGAAAGCCAGTGCATATTTTGCTTTGTTTTCTTTCCTTTTCATTAGAAGGGAGTAAATTTCAATGTTCAAAGAGAGAGCACATCCCTCTCCCTATCAGAAGGTCCACAATACCAGCTTAACTTGGGTTGTTTGAAATTTAAATATCAGAATAGCTCCTGATGTCCTAGAAATGTGCAGATTTTCTGCCTGGAATATAGACTCTTCCATCCAGAAATCCTCAGAACCAATCTCTCATGTATTCCCACCACTCACCAAACATCGTATTACAGCAGAGAAAACGGAGCAGGGACTTGGAGTGGACACTGAAAGTGATTTCTTCTCACCCCTGGCTCATCTCCAAAATTATTATTCATGGCCAAAAGCCATTTGCTTCCTTACTCTCTCATTGCTGGTAATGCTTCCCAGAGCTGCCCCTCTCCTCTCATACTGCATCACCTCTGATGCTGAGCTCATGGAGGACTCTGTGTTTAACATTCATGAGAAGTGGCAATCTCATCCAGCTGCACTTACGAGGAGGAATCTGTGTGGGAGATTATCGTGCTTGAACAATAGCTGTATTTACCATGCCTTTCCAATGAGTGGCTTCTAAGAGCAAGAGGTAACTGTAATGACAGCGAGCGAGCCGCTTAAACTGTTTGCAAAATAAAACTTCTGTAGAAAAATGGAAAGATAAAGTTAATTTATGTTTAAGCATCTTCCTTTAGTAAGAATGCAGTGCTTCCTCCAAGTTTATAATCTCTCCTGTATGATGTAGTAAAGAGGATGAGGTCTTGGGAGTAGAATGTTCTGGAGCCAAATTCTGCTCACGTGACCTTGGGCCACACACTGAAACCTCGTTAGGTCTCAGTGAGCCCACCCAAAGATGGGGATGATAATACCTCCCCAGCAGGTGGTTGTAAAGTAAGTTCCTGTTTCCTAGCAGAAGCTCATCAAACACTGGTTAGTTTTATGCCCATAAACCCCAGGTTCTTACTAATCCATGAAGTTAGTCATGGGCGGCCTCAATCTACTTTCACCCTAATCAGAAGTTAAAGCTGCACAGACTAACTTGAACATGATGTTTCATTGCTGTTGCCTAGAATTATAGCCACTCAACATGGCCGCACGGATTCATTGTTGCTCATCAGAAGGTTTGATTGGCAGAGTTGGGGTTAATTAAAATGGCAAAACCAATCATTATCTTTAATAAAAGCAATCTCCTTCAAAGGAAATATTTCAAAACACCATATTTATGTAGAGGAAGGACAAGATTATCATAATAAAATGATTTCTTAATTAAAAAAAACAAAAAAAAAAAAGAGTTGAGACCCTTTGTTCTGTGTTTTAACAATGCCCTCTAGTGCCCAGCCCCAACAAAAAATCAATTAACTGAGTATATTGACTACACAGCATGAGCTTGGGCATGTGAGGGGTGTAAAGAAGTACAAGATTTTGTTCCTGCTCTGGATTAGTGTAGCCTCGATCTCAAGTTCCAAAACACACACTTGAAAAGGAATGAGCACTTCAGAGTGGTTGGGAAAATAGGCTTGTAATCAGACAGTGTGGCTTTGAGCCATAACTCTGTCACTCACTAACTCTGTGATGTGACCGGGGCAGGTCACCTGTCCTCTGCAGAGATACAGTAAGCATGAACTGAGTTAACATTGGCAAGGAGCTTTGCGAGAATATCTAGAAAACAGCAACCTCTCAATGGGTAGTAGCCTACTCTTCTTATTCTAGAAAATCCAACCACTGCAGTCATTTCAAGTCAATCCTTCCTCTTCAATTCCCTTAATGTCTCAGGCTAGAAGCCTGGAAGTGCTAAGTTGTTCTTTTCCATTTAGTTACAGATATTGTGGATTCTACCAGATGTCTCTTGAATGTTCCCTCTCTTGCCAATCTCATTCACCATCCTAGTTCTTGAATTTAACATTTCTTGCCTGGGTTACTGCTGCTTTAGCTGCTAAATCATCTTCCTATGTCTGCTTTCCAATACTTAAGATCAGTGATTTTCCTAAAACGGGGGTCAAATCCTGTCGCCTTTATTCTCAAAAATAGTCCAACAGAATAAATGTCCATTCTTTAGCATGGTGTTCCATCGTCTGGAGGACCTACATTTTCAGTCTTATCTTTTTTCTCCATTCTTCAAGAACCTAGCCTCTAGTCACGTTGAGTTACTTTCTAAACAGATCATCAACTTGTGATGGAAGTATTCCATGCCTTTCCTCCTTCTGTCCACTCAGAATAAAACATCTCTCTCCTGTGTCTTTGTCTTCCCCTCTTCTCCTACCTTCAAGACTTACTTCAAAAGCCCACTCCTTTATAAGGCCTTTCTCAACCTCCCCCATGGAGGAGTTGATCATCCTTTCCACTCCATCCTCAGAGCAAGGTACTTGGGCTGTTTTTGTATCATTTACTTCCTTCCATCTTATATTAGCGGATATGCCTCCTCCATTAAAGAAAAAATAATGTTCTCTTAAAGAAAATAATTATTCATGACACTCGTTAAAGCACAGTAAGGAAGACTTGATTCAAAGGGGCCATCATGATGGGTGTAGAGACCCCTGCAATGGGGTCTTGCCGTGGGGGAGAGAGATTGGACTCACTCTGAACACAGCGTGGGAAAGCAAGAGTTCATAGACAAGGAGCAGGGTGGAGTCAGTGGGTGGAAATTACTAAGAGGAAACATCAGGGGTGAGGGTTCTGGCTAGCCTGACCTAACAGGATTCTCGCTGAAGGCAGGCCAGGGGATCAGTTGTCATCTGGAGGATGGTTGGGATGAGGAACCCAATCAGATATCGAGAGTCGGGGCTTCTGGTTGAACTGACTTACCAGGATTCTTGATAAAATTGGACAATGCAGAGATGAATGCAAGTCCAAAAGCCATGCCTAGCTGAAAATTTCAGGGGAGCCTGAGTAGAGTTCTGTCAAGGACAAAATTTTTGTCGCTCCTTCAGTCAATTGTTACTTTCTTGAAGGTACAAAACACGACATTTATAGCAACACCCAACATTGCTAATTCAGTGTTTTGGACACAGTTTTTTTTCTCACCAAATATTTGATGAATGGTTAAACCAACCAACAAACAAAAAGATCAGCCAGAATAGCAGTGTCCAGTAACAAAGGAGCACTCTCTTGGGAGTAGCTTGATCCTTCATTGCTCTTGGAATTGATTAATACTAATCTGTATACCAACAAGTAAGATTATGTCTCCTTTATTTTTATGCACTGTGTATGGCTACTTAAAAAATAGGTATCTTTTTATCTATCTATACACACATTCACTGTATATATATATGCACATATATAATATATATATATGTATATATAGTGTGTGTATATATATGTTTCTTATTCCTGCATCTTTCTTTTTCATTTTTCTCTAGCCTGGTACATATGTGATAGCTACAGAATAAATGTCCACCATATTTGTAAAATAACGTAAAGCTCTGATGGGAGCTCCATGAGGAAGGGACAATGGACTCGGACCGCCGGGCCCCCAGTGTCTGGAACAGTACCTAGTATGGAGTAGAAGCCCAATAAATGTTTGTTCTTGTTAAATTAAACATGCTCAGGAATAAACTACTGTTCAAAATCATCTTCCTTTCCATGATTTTGTTTTCATTTTCTTTGTCTATTTTCCAGTTGAAAACGACCCACACTTCATCATTTACCTGCCCAAAAGCCAAGAGAATATTTGTTTCAATATTGACTCAGAACCTGGAAAAATCCTCAGTCTTGTTTCTGATCCAGAATCAGGTAAAAGAAAAAGATATTGTTTTTGAATTAGACGATTAGATCATTGTTGCGCTTCGCTGCTACTACCTGGGATTTCTTTCTTTCCCACCTTACTAGAAGTCCCATATTTTTCAACTGCCAACAATTAGTAAAAGATGAATTATAAACATATTCCTAAGTGTTTTAAATATTACAGATAAAACATTCTGAGTATGAGTATGAACTAGCAAGACTTACGATAAAATTAATTTAAACTACAATAAAACACAGTTATAGTGAGGGTTAGGAAGGAATAAAATGTTGGTAGATCTTGAAGCAAAAAAAATACTTTTCCCATATTGTAAAGTTTTATAAATTTGAATTTTTGCATTATTTGAATTATTTGCACACGTGCAAAACAATGGCACATGAGAGAGAAAAAACCATTTTTTTTCTGTAGGGATTTTGGTCAATGGACAGCTCATTGGTGCCAAGAAGCCCAAGAATGAAAAACTAAGCACCTATTTTGGGAAACTGGGATTTTATTTCCAAAGCGAGGATATGAAAATAGAAATCAGCACTGAGACCATCACCCTGAGCTGGGGCTCTCGTGCGTCCACCTTGTCCTGGGCTGACACCGCTCGTGTCATTAATCAAAGGCAAGTATTGTTATTAGAGCTGAATTCGAGGCTGTCCTTGATGCGTGACTACATAAATAAATCCAGGCATCCATGACATAAACATAGAATTTAAAGTCGTCATTTCGAATCTGAAGAAGTCAAGGTCCAGAAGCACTTCTGTTACCCACTCCCCTCTTCCTGGAGGCAGAGTCCACGTTTTGTGGTCAGTGTGTGTCTCAGCACTGACATAAGGCTGGTCATATAGGAAAGACTGCATAACTATGTGTCAGGTAAGTAAATAAATCCATCAACCAAAATCCACAGCCCGTTCTGTGTCAGTGTGCTCAGAAACACTATGATTGTGCCATGTGTCATATCTTCTCATTAGTATCTCTTGTTTACATACAAACATACAATTTGACCGATTTTAGAGCTGGGAGTTAAAACAACCACATTCTATAGCAAAAACGTTGTAAAGCTCTTGGAAAAATAGTGGGGCTGTGTTGGGAGGAATGGAGAGTTCATACGTGAGGCAAGAGGAATGACTTTCTGAAAAGAGTCTGTTCTGGAATGGTTAATTCCATTTCCACTTTTGTACTAGGGTGCTTGTCTCAGTGAAGAAAGAGAAAACTGTGACTGTCACCCTGGATAAAGAGATGTCCTTCTCTGTCTTACTTCATCGCGTTTGGAAGAAGCATCCAATCAACGTAGACTTTTTGGGGATCTACATTCCCCCCACAAACAAATTTTCGCCTAATGTACATGGACTAATAGGTAAAGTGTCAATCAACCATCTGACAAGCGTGGGACCACTCTCATGGTCTTGAGCAACTTTGGATGGCAGCGGTTAGAACTTTGGAATGTGACAGGTGTGCACTCAAGAGCACAGGGAGGACCCATATTCTGTGCCCGGGTCTTAGTTTATAAAGGTGGCTGAGTGACGACTCAAAGAGGTCAATGGCATTGAAAGAAGCTTTTACTGTTAGTCTCAGTTTCCTCTAGAAACAAGAGGTGTGGCTCACAGGCAGGACCACAGGAGAAGGCCAGGTTTGGGTCAGGAAGCAGAAGCAGGAGGAAGCTACAGGTTTAGGCCAGAGCCTTTCTTGGGGTTTCCATGGGAAAGACATGGCAGAGCAGGGTAAATAGCTTAGGGTTGGCTGGTTTGCATAATGCCCACGGGCTTTGGGTTATAGGGTGGTCTCTAGTTGCCTGGTCCCTGGCCCTGGAATGTTTCTTCTGGGTTGTATGGGCCAGATGGAGGTCTTCATCTGGGTTGGTTAGTTTGTACATCAAAGACATGCTCCTGGCTGAGTCCTTTGCTATCTTTCAGAATTGGCTAGCCCTGGGAGGGACAGTCTCTTCCCAGCCAGACAAGGTTTTTAAAATGTCAAAACATCATAATATACAGAAAATAAAAAACATGATTAATACACACAACATAGCAGTGCGGGGTGATTCAGTAATGCCATGGCCAGGACCATCTGCTGTTCCAGACGGGGTTTTCCCTGAACCAGGATTTCATCATCACAAACTGGGCAATTTAAGAGACGGGACAGGTAAATTTTATGTTTTACGCTGAAGATATTTTTCCTAACTGAGGAGAGGTGACCTGGTTTAGGAAGTCAGTGATAATAAGCAGGATATCTAAGTCAACTTTCCCCACTTTTTAAAGACTGGTTCCAATTTAAGCGTATGACATCACAAGCCTTGTTTCTAGGATTTGAGCTATGCTCTCAGGTGCTGACCTTTGCCCCCTGCCATCAGGGAGTTCGATTTTCCTCCTGGTCCAGTAGGTCAGCCTTTTCTGTACATGACTGTGGGGTGAGCAGCACAGATTTTCTCTCAAGAAGGACCCCCTCGCTCCCACTGCTGCTCTCTTTTCCTCCCAATATGTCCTTCTCTAGAAATTCTGGAGGGAGGACCCAAATGCAGTTTGGATCAAGTGATGAGTCTGTCTTTTTATTGACCCCGGGACCACAAGTAAATCAGTGTCTGGACCTTGTTTCTTTAGGCCAGTTCATGAATGAGCCAAAGGTACACATCTTCAATGAGCGACTTGGAAAGGACCTCAAGAAGCCAGAGGCAAGCATGGAGGTGAAAGGACATAAGCTGATTGTCACCAGGTAGGCCTTGGATGCCACAATAGAAATGACAGTAATGAAAAGGGCTCCGACTAGGGTTGGACTCACACAACAAAATGGAAGAGCAAGAAAAGCTGTTTTAAGCTTTACCTATGTCAAACTAAACAATTCATCAGTAACAGGCACACATAACATTTGCATAAGGATGTTGCAGACAGTCTGTCTTAAGTGCAAATAATGACTAGATAGATAAGTATGTACCATAAAATGCCAAGATTAATTAATCTATTGTTGTCACCTTCATACATTAGAAGCCCTGTGGTCACAAGTTGGATAATTGAAAAACCTGATTAAAGGAGGAAATCATAAAAATACATACGTGCCATAGCACTAGAGAAAGAATGTATATTTTATGCAAGGTAGAGTCTTCTTTTTGAGTTTGTATCTAGTGAATGCATTTTTTTTTTTAAGATTTTATTTTTCCTTTTTCTCCCCAAAGCCCCCCAGTACATAGTTGTATATTATTCGTTGTGGGTCCTTCTAGTTGTGGCATGTGGGACGCTGCCTCAGCGTGGTTTGATGAGCAGTGCCATGTCCGCGCCCAGGATTCGAACCAACGAAACACTGGGCCGCCTGCAGCGGAGCGCGCGAACTTAACCACTCGGCCACGGGGCCAGCCCCTAGTGAATGCATTTTTGTGTAGCTTTTCTTACACAAACCATATCCGTATGCTTCGTTTTGAAGTAAGAACTTAGATACGTGTAAAGCATTCTGAGTGTAAAATTGTTATAAATCTTTTAAATTTGTCCCAGTCTTTTACAGTTGTCTCACCCATGCCCAATTTAGCATCGTTTTAAAGCTTTTTTTTTTACCTTTTTAGGGTTTTTACAAAGCAGCCAACCTTACTTTCTGAGAAATGACTCTTTTTGCACGCACGTGTCATTGGCTTCCACAAACTTAATTACACCATAAATTAACAATAATTATTAAACCATAAAATTACAATAATAAATACCACCACAAAAACAGATTTGTGAATCAAAACAATGGACTCTTAGTGAGTATACCATTCAACAGGAGATCAATGAGTTACCAATGGGTATCAGTAAGCGTGTTTTATAGAAGAAACGGCGAGCGCAGTTAATAATAGTAATAGTGTTATCTGAGATTGGTAAAGGCCCAGCTACTACACTCTAATGACAAAGGGTAAATGTTGGGTCTCAATTTTATTTACTGCAAGCACCTCATGGTGCTTGACTGGAACCAAGTCAACTTGTGGGCCATGCACAATTATATACATTTGAGAGCTCATTAATGGCAATATGCCATGTGACTTTTCAAAGCATTAGCTTCTGTATCCTTTAAATGAAAGACGTGAATTTCTGAGAAACAGCTGGCATCGCCCTTAGAAAGAATACTCACTCATACAGTGAAGGTGAGAGGCATCTCAGATTCATTCTGCGGGTAACACGTGAGGTTACCCTCAACACGTTGGAGTCTATTTCCACCTTCTTTCCACTTGAAAGTTAATTTGCACTCTTTACCTTGCTGGAAAAGTCCACATTGGTCAGTCTCTATAAGGGTTATTTGAATTATCTAAGGACACACTCCTTACTCTCTGCCCTTTCAACACCATGCCCCAGACTCTGATGTTCCCTATGACTTGGGGAGCAGGGGTGGGTGGGGGTGGGCAGATATGGTGCTAGAAGGGGTGCAAAGAACAGCAAGGGAGGGGACATAGTCTCCTTTGCAGATATGCAGGCTGCCCACGCCTTGGTCTGTGCCCTAAACGTGTGCACCATTTTCCTTGCAGAGGCCTCCAGAAAGACTACCGAACAGATATAGTGTTTGGAACAGATGTTCCCTGTTGGTTTGTGCACGACAGTGGGAAAGGTTTCATCGATGGACATTACAAGGATTACTTTGTGCCTCAGCTCTATAGCTTTCTCAAACGGGCTTAAAGGTTTCTAGTTTTAGAAATTATACGTATAAATGTACATTTTTTTCCTGCCACTTTTGCAATCATTCTTCAATTTGAATAATTAAAAACCAACCAGACAGCACGGTGGCTTATAAAACCTGTTGACACATGGGAAGAAAATAAAGGATTTGCAAAGAAGCTTTAAGATTTTGTTGCGCTTTTGAATGCTAAGGTGTGTTAATCAAGGCGGCGCAAAGGAAAGCTGCTTTGGCGTGTCCAGAGGGCACCCAGACACAGCCCTAGATTGGGCACTGGCTGTGATGACTTCGCCATAGCTGAGTGTCAGGTCCTCAGTCCTTGCAGACTGAGCACATTTTCACACTGCCATCTACATGGGAAGTTCAGTTATGAGAAGGTTACTTGGTGAATGTGGAATAACAGGAGAAGTACTTGGTCTTGTTTTGTAGCTGTATCTACGAAAGCCCTGTTACCCTCTGTCGGCATAGCCTTGCCTAGGTAACTCTGATGGCCCAATACTCTTAGCCAAGCTTCCTTCATAGTGCTGGCCTTGGGGACTCTCTGTAGTCCAAGAGGCCTGAATTAGTTAGGGTTCTCCAGAGAAACAGAACCAAGACAATACACTTGTACATATATAAACACATACATATATCTACACACATACAATATCTATACACACACATATATACATATATACAGTAAAGTAATTTATTATAAGCTGATGTTCTAGTTTGAAGACTGTTAGGCAATCTTGCAGATGAAGTGCAAAGGCAGTCAGCCGGAGAATTCCCTTACTCAGGGGAGGGGCAGTCTTTTCCTTCTATTCAGGCCTTCAACTGATTAGAGGAGACCCATCCACACTGGGGAGGTCAATCTGCTTTACTCAGTCTACCTACTTAAATGTACATTTCATCCCATGGCCCAGTCAAGTTGACACACAAAATTGGCTATCACAAGGCCTTAAACAACCTTATTCTGTTCACATAGCCATTCTCCAAATATAGCACAAGTGGGTAGGTATCTGCTTATTAAATTGCAATCACTTCGTACTTCTGCCTCCCTGACATTATTCCAAGATCACCTGGGAGATTTTGTTGCTCCCAAATTCTTCACGTTTCAAATGGCTTGGGATATTACCTCCCATGGCTAATTGCACACAGTGTTAGTGTTACCATGAATTCTGAGAATCATAGTTCCAAGTTCTCTGGGAGCCCCCTCCAGGAAGCAACAAGTTTCACACAAATTTAATGGATTTTGGACACAGAAGCTTCCTCAGTACTCCTTGTAGCCTTTTATTTTGTTTGTATTTAAGCAATTCCTAAGAGCAACGCCATTTAGATTTTAAACTTTATATGATTAGAATTTATTTCAAAATAAATTAACCAGAAAATTACGTCCTAACAAAAGGCTAATGGTACTCATAAAGCAGAAAAAATAAACAACAAAGTTAAAGTGAAATTGGGTGGCTTTCTTGTGTCTGCATTAATATAGTGGATTTGGGTAATACGGTCCAAGTCTGATCTGTTGTAATTATGTGTTTTCCTTTGTTTATAACTTTCCTTTAAAAACCAATTCCTAAAATGGATATATTTTCAAGAACCAAAGTGATAAAATTGCAGAAAAAATTTTAAAGGTACATTTTTATGAAGCATTCTCTCCATAATTTGGTAAAAACTATTTTTCCTTTTTAGAAAGTAGACAAAACTCTCTCTTTTTGAACATACTCAATCCATTTTGAAAAAGCAAGTGATTATCTTTTGACTTAAGTGTAAAATATTAAACAAAGGTGATTGGTTCTGTAATGTAAAGATAACCTCAGTGCTGAGGACATAAATGGCATTGCCTTTTAGTTTCATTCTTCTATAAAAATTGGTCACCTATGACTTTTTAAAAATCTACTATATCTTTTCCATTTCCTAATTCAAAAACACTGATCTTAAAATGCTCATTTCAACATAAACTTCAAAAGTGGGTTCTTATAATTAATTCTGTCACTTGGCAAAAATTTTGACTTTAACACTTCTACCTTTAGATATGAAAGTTTCTATGTAAGTTTAGTTTGATTCCTTTCTATACGTAAGTTTCGTTTGATTCCTAGTATTTTATAAGTGCTCAGTAGTTTTAAAAATAATGATGAAAATCTTGGGGTGTACTTTTTTTTTTTGAGGAAGATTAGTCCTGAGCTAACTACTGCCAATCCTCCTCTTTTTGCTGAGGAAGACTGACCCTGAGCTAACATCCGTGCCCATCTTCCTCTACTTTACACATGGGACGCCTACCACAGCATGGCTTTTGCCAAGCAGTGCCAGGTCCGCACCTGGGATCCGAACTGGCGAACCCCGGGCTGCTGAGAAGAGGAACGTGTGAACTTAACCACTGCGCAGCCAGGCCGGCCCCTGGAGCGTATATTTATACACAGGATATTGAGCAACAGAGTCCTATCAAAATAAACTAGATTCAAAATCAAATTCATATGTGTTATTCAAATTGTCAAAACTTTTATTAATAGCTGGTGTTTTGAAATTCATTGTCTGTAAAAACCTCATTAATACTATTCACGTGTCCCCCTTTGAGACCAGAAATATGACTTCTCTATATAATTAATTTTGAACAAATGAATAATCAATTTTGAATTTCAAATGAACCAAATAAATGGGAATCATTGGAAAGGAAGAAATTATTCCACTGTCTACTTCCTGATTAGTTTCTGCAAAGTATTATGCTCTTAGCGATGAAGGAAAGCAACTTGACAGTTACCTATCTTATTTTCTTTTTAAAGATTTTATTTTTTTCCTTTTTCTCCCTGAAGCTCCCCAGTACATAGTTGTATATTCTTCGTTGTGGGTCCTTCTAGTTGTGGCACGTGGGATGTCGCCTCAGCGTGGTTTGATGAGTGGTGCCATGTCCGTGCCCAGGATTCGAACCAACGCAACACTGGGCCGCCTGCAGCGGAGCGCGCAAACTTAACCACTCGGCCACGGGGCCAGCCCCCCTATCTTATTTTTTTTTTTTAATTCTTTGTTTATTCTTTGGAGCACCTTGCAACCCACTGGTAATCGATCAATATTTAATTTTTTACAGAGCTGGGGTATTACAGGGCTGGTATCTGTCAGATATATTAATCATCTTTAGGACTTATCTAGTCTATTTTCAAAGCTCTCCTAAGTATCAATCTAAACAGGTTCCACTAAACCAGTTAAATATAGATGTCTTCTTGTTAGGAAAATGAGACCCTATGTTTGAGAAAAACCAGACTCTTGGCTCAGATCATACCTCTGTTTATGTTTGTGTTTTTAAATTACTGAAAATGAAACAAGTTTTCTTAGAGTTGGAAAATTGGTAATCCAAAGCAGCGACTAGAAAAGAGAATTGGAGCGTCTCAATGTTTAGTAAAAATGGACCATGAATTAGGAGTTATTTTAGCACCTACTGGTATGAGATCTCATGCCGATCATTCTACATACTTTAAAGGATCACCTAACGCCATAAAAAGTGGCATCTTCTCTTCAGCCTTATCCCAATCGAAAGAGCTATGTCACTCCAAAGACCCAGTTAGATCAAAGTAAAAATTACCTGGCTGCCTGGATACATAAAGACGCTTACATGCTGTAAGAATTTAGTAATTATTCTTTTCTTAACATTTCTTCAAGCTGGCCAAAATTATTCTTAACACTTTTTCACACTGGCCAAGACTCCATTGGTGACTTTTTCTGAAATGTCCACGAAAGAGAAGGAAAAATCAAGGATGCTTCTTTTTAATAGTATAACTCAATTACCCAGTTAGCATTTCTGGGGGCACTTCGTTCAACCTAATGACTCACTTACAATCAAGGCTGATTCCTATTCTAAGCCTGTGATTCCATTTCACTCAAGCAGGAACTGAGGTGTCCACCGGCATCAGTTAATGGCCTCTGACTGAGGCCTAGTGAAGCTGGGGCAGGCTTTTAATTAACGGCTCCAGGTTATCAAAAGTTTCTCTTAATTGAGCTTGAAGTCAGCAATCCCAAAAGTCCTGTGCACCCCAATGTTTATTGCAGCACTGTTTACAATAGCCAAGACATGGAAGCAACCTAAATGTCCAGCAACAGACGAATGGATAAAGAAGATGTGGTACATATATACGATGGAATACTACTCAGCTGTAAAACAGAACAAAATCATTCCATTTGCAATAACATGGATGGACCTTGAGAGAATTATGTTAAGTGAAATAAGCCAGCGAGAGAAAGATAATCTGTGTATGACTCCACTCATATGAGGAATTTAAAATTATGGACTAAGAACAGTTTAGTGGATACCAGGGGAAAGGTGGGGTTGGGGGTCGGCACAAAGGGTGAAGTGGTGCACCTACAACATGACTGACAAACATTAATGTACAACTGAAATTTCACAAGATTGTAACCTATCAATAACTCAATAAAGAAAAAAGTTTCTCTTAATTGGCCTATCATTTCACTTGAATATTAATTCATTGAGCACTGTCAATTCCTGCACAGCATGCGTCTCGGGTCTATACAGTAGTCTCCCCTATCCTCAGGGGAAACGTTCCAAGACCCCCAGTGGGTGCCTGAAACCACAGATAGTACCGAACCCCCCACAAAGGATGTTTTCTCCTATACATACAAATCTATGATAAAGTTTAACTTACAAATTATGCACAGTAAGAGATTAACAACAACTACTAACAAAATATAACTATAACAATATACTGTAATCAAAGTTATGTGAATGTGGTCTCTCTCTCTCAAAATATCTTCTCTAGCACCTACCGCAATGGCTTACTTCTGGGAGGCACTCTGTACATGTTTGTAGAATAAATTTACTCAAATATCTCAGCAAAAACTGATAGGCAGTTAGAAGTACACAAGGGAAAAAGGAGCAAATAAGGCAATGGGGTCCAATGGAAGTCTTAACGAAGAAAACTCAGGGAATTTGGTTTCCCAGCACACCAATGCCAATAATTTGACATGAACTCAAGCAAACTGATTGAATCGAAATTGAAGAAAATATTTGCAAAAGACTTATCTGATAAAAGACTGTTATCCAACATATACAAAGAACTCTCCAACTCAACAGTAAGGAAATGAACAACCCGATTAAAAAATAGGCAAAACACTTGAACAGACATCTCACCAAAGAAGATATACAGATAGCAAATGAGCACATAAAAAGACGCTCAACATCATG